GGGGGGGGGGGGATTTTCTTTCTTTTTGGGTCACCCTGCCTTGGTGGGAGATGACTGATGTGTTAAAAAAAAAATGTAGTATTTGTTTTGTTTTTAATCCTTTTTAATGGAGTGTTATTGGTGTAATTTTTGTGCTTTCCTCAAACTATAGCTCTTTACATTGTGCCTCCTAATGTACTTTTTATAAGTATTACTATTGTCAAAGGTTATTCAAACTAACATCCTCACCAGCATAGAGGAATTGCCTCTATTTCCATTATACATCGTGTTATTTTTGACGGCACTTATGCCATATTGTTTGTTTTTAGCAAATAATAGATTATTTGACCTTGATTATTTTTAAATTTTTCTGCCCGAAAAGATTTGGTCTTATATTTAGCCCTTTCACTGTCTCCCACACAATGTCATGTTATTGAAGGCAGTGTTGCTTACTTAGATTTACGCATAAATTCTGGTGACCTCAGATTTGGCACAAGAGGCCTGATAGATCTAACCATAAGAGAATGGGTCTGCTTGGTCAGTGTGCTCAGTACAAAAAAAAAATCAGGGCCTCCACAGTGCACTGTGGGAATGCCATCTTATAATTCCAGTGTTCAACATGCCGCACAAATACAAGGATCTGATTCCCAGGCAAATTCACCGTGTATTATTCCCCATTGACAGCTCCAACAATGAGGATTACAGTTCTTTAGGTTTAAACATTTAGTGACTGAAAGTGGCACTCATGATGCCAGAAGTAGTGCTAAAAAACCCCAATAATCCACAGCCATTCACATCTAGGGTCAGTTTATCCAGAATACATTTATACCTTTAGCAAAAGCTCATTTACTCCTGTGGTTTGGGCACAGATGGGAGTACTAATGCTAGTGATGTGGACTTTGATTTCCTAGCAATCGATGACCAGTCCAGTGACAGTGATGATAATTATTCACCGGTGAGGCATCAGTTTATGTGGCAATGCATTATCTGTGTCCCCATTGCTATCCCCAAGGGACTTAATACAAAATGGAACCCAACATCAGTGACAGTGAGGATGAAGGTGGGTAGTTGGTGCATGGGTAGTTGGTCACAGGCACTGCTGGTGGTGCATTTGACTGTGGCTGGTGGGAGAGGGAGGTGGGCAGCGCCAGCTCTAGCTGGGAACCATGCCCCACATAACACACCCCAGCGACCCCAGGCTGTCTTCACCACCCACACACAACTGCCACTATCACCATCACCACAACCAGTTGCAAATATCCAGCAACCACCACCAGACCACGTGTGGATTTGGCAAGATGATGCACATTTTCTGCATAATCCCTATCAGTTTGATGACAGTAAAATCCATCCCAACTGTACCCTCGGGAGCAGCGTCTCTGAACTGGAATTCTATTAACTTTATTTTGATGAACCCTAATGCAAATGATATTGAAGGAACCAGGAGGTACTTACAGTATACAATAGCAAACATGTTAGTGCTGCCATGATCATGGCTACAAAATGTGGAAATACACAACTGTGGCCGAGATGTATGTTTTTCACCACAATCATGATAATGCCACTTGTGTATAAACACAGTATTGCATCATACTTGTCAAGTAACTTTCTTTTGTGTACCCAGCATTCAGTGATCTCATCCCCATGAACATATTTATCCTCCTACTGTTTTAGGAACATGACTAGTACCTGTATATATGTATACACATGTTAGAACAGTAATGTGAAGCATTTTGATGTGTGTGTGTGTTTACGTTGTGTATAAATACTTTCTAAACAATATTCTGATGACAGTGCCGGTATTGTCATATATGATGGGTGACCATACATCCATTGTGCATGATTTGGGTCTCATGAGTCACAACAGTTGCTGGAAGATGTAACACATTAGAAAACCATGAAAAAAGAAAAGTGGGAAAAAAAGTCATATGGTGCCTGGCAATCACCAATATTGCCATCAGCAGATTAATGACCTTGAACTTGATGCCTTCTGATCTTGGTAAGTACTGATGGGAATTTTTTTCTCATGACAACTACAAAAGTATGCTTTTGATTTTTTTTAAGTCTCGATATCATCAGCACTTTAATTTTGAGGTCATGACAGTGAAAGGGTTAATAAACTTTTTTCATATATATAAATGTCTGTGATATTAGTTTGTGGGCTACTATTGCTGTCCCCCACAGTCCAATACCTTTTTGCCCCATTTGACTAATTAAAATAGCTTTTTGGGAGCCTTCAGTAATTTGTTAAAGCAGCTCATCAAATAAGTCTCTCTCTCTCTTTGCTTCTTCCACTCCATGCTGTCCTAGCACTGTCTTGCCATTATTGCATGAACATCACCTCACTTTTCCTTTTTTACCTTCTACTAATTGCACTGAAATTGTCATACAGGCTTCCTCACTTTCCTTCAAACTCATAAATGCACACCAACACATTTAAACAAAACAAACTTGCCTGTCATCAGAATTCATAATTACTGATTTTTTTGTTTTCTACGAAAGTTACAAGTGCAAATGTTGGGAGCGAATGAGCTAGGCTTATGGATCATAGCCAATACATACAGTAGAGCAAAACTAAGTATTAAAGTGACTCATGAATCCTATGGCATTACACAGTAATATTCTAGTATCTTACATAACACTCGTTTTTATAACAAATTTTACATACAATACATTGTTACAATGCAGTTTAGCCTGAGAAAGGAGGGAGAAGAAAAAAAAAATTGTATTTCCTGTCTGTTCCAAATGTCATGCATAGCCTGGTTGCATTCATTCACTGCTGAGGCCAACTTCATAATCTTGAACTTTCTGCATAGTATAAAGTACAATATATTTTTTTTAGTTATTACACACATGTATTATGAATAGGGTTCAAGCATATATGAAGCAAGGGAATCCTCATTATATGCTGCTCTGTTTTTTTTCACATTCGTTATTTCTTGATGCTCTATTCTGTTCAGCAGAGGGAAAGCAGTGGGTCCTGTTCTGTTAGTCATTATTTTATTACAAAAATTGTATCTGCAGCTATATCTGAAAAAAGAAATTAGTGCAGAAGTAAATAACATACTAGGCGAGTACATTTGGTTATATACTGTAAGAAGTGATTGAGAAACAAGTACAATGCAAATGACATTTTTTGACTGCACTTTGAAGTGGGCTAAATTTTACTAACTCTTTTAAGTTATAATCACCACATAAGATTTGAGGTTAATAATAATGTATGTACAAGTACTGTGAGGAGATTGAGTAAGACCCAGTCCATCATAACTTTTAATATTGTTTATTATCACTTATTTTAAATCGCCTCTTGTTTGCATTTTAGTTGTCTCTTGTTTTTATGAGTGTCTTATACTCGTATGTGTTAGTTCTTGTACTGGGCTTTCCTTTGTCAGGTAAAAGGATCTTTGAAAATGGCAGACATAACAGGCACTCACTGTGTTGGTAGTCCTCTTGCTTGCTTGCCAGGATTTTGTTTTTAAATGGTTTGCTATAACATGTCTTTAACATGTTTGTAATTTAGTCTTTGAAAAACTCCACTCTTAATGCAAATTCACATTAAATGCAGTTTTTTAGAAACTAATTTGGGGTTCATGGTGAAGGATTCCATAACCATGTACAATGTAATATCACAGTCTTTACACTAGTACTTTCTCTCTCTTTCACTGTCTGGGCCTTCTTGCGTGACTACTCTCACAACACACCATTTTTGTAGGAGAAAGGTTCTGGGAAGTGTTTACTCCTTAGTCATAGAGAATCAATTATCAGACTTTAACCTGTTAAGCTAATTACATTTTTAAGCTTGATTCTTACTGAAAGGAATGAGTCACAATCATAAACTCTTATGATGTCCAGCTGTAATATATGTAATAGCATTTAACCCTTAGACTAGCATTTTCTTGTTACATTTATTGCTTATCATTGTGGTAAAAGGTTCATTATTATGGTAATGCACAGCATTTATAAATTTCCTTTTACTTTAAATTGTAATGCATTGCCTCTGTAGAATGTCATTAAAGCTATTAATTTATTTTACTAAGAGAAGTTTACTGTTACTCATATTTTTATTTCTAGCAATTATTTTGGTCAGTTACAAATGGTTGCCATATTTTTTCTTGACAATTTTAATGAGAAAGTCCCAGATACCTTCTAACACACGTTCCTCTTGTTTTAATGATATATACTAAATTCTCTTTTCTGATTTTCTAAATTTGCATTATCTTATCCAAAATGGAGAGTTAATCTATGCTAGCCACTTAAAATACGAATTCGCTAAGGCCCAAGTATAAACTAGAATGCCAAAGCGAGGTAGAGGAGAGAAAACTTGTTACACTCACCTGTGTTGGTCTCTTGATGATAGTGAATGGTTATGACAGCATTCATCTTTGACGCATTAAATTCACCACACGAGAATAATCTCTGCTGTTCATGCACAGTTATAATACTGTATTTACAAACTGCACTAACACTGCATTTATACATTTGTACACGTGCTTATAATCTCTGCATTATATCCAAAGTTCATCAACATTAGGTATATGTACAGTTTTGTTAAGTCCTTCCATGACATCATCAGCACCTTGGAATGCTAGATGGGCACTCACAGCTTGCCTGCTGCCCAAGCATTGCTGCTACTAAAATCCAAGTGCAAGACTGGATATGTTAGTAAAGAATAAATTAAAATTGCAACAAATCTAAATTTTCCCGTGGAAATCAAACAAATTTTAATGATTGGTTGTAATATTAGTACAATAGATGTTACTGTACAATACTTCATTTTTTCAAATTTAGAAAGAATTGCCAGCTTTTCATTTGCCTCCATTGGCTCTTCATATAATGTTTATCTTTCAGTAGTTATGAATACACTGTATATAAAATGTTAATTGGTCATTAGTAATTATTCTGTAAATTATTTTAAGAACTAGCATGTACAGTCAGGCACATCCGTTTAACGGTCGTCCTGTGCTTGCTTTTGCTGTAATAAACTTTTGTGGTTGAAGGGCCAGTCTGTTTTCACTTTACAGCGTCCCCAGCTTGATGAGATTATGGACTCTGCCAAGAAAGCAGCAGCAAAGGCAGCATCACGTCAGAAAATGAAGAAAGCCCGAAAGATATTAGCTGAGAAACGGTCCGCAGCTCCAATTGTTTCTGTACCAACTATACCAGCTGATCGGTAAGCCTAGATTCAAACATTATTTTTTCTGTTTAGTTATTTAGTTATTTTTTAAGATTTTTTTTTTACTTTTAAGGAAACCTTACATTTTTGTTATTGTTAAATAACCTGAAATTATTTATTTTATAAATTTTTCTGTTGTACATATTAAACAATGTAGTGTTTAGTGGATACCATCCTATTCTTCCTGCAAAACATACTTCAAGATTTAGTTGGCTTCTAAGATGTGCAGAGTTTCTGTTACAGCATCTTCAAGGTAGGTAATGTAATAATTGTCTTGGAGTTGAAACAGTCATTATTCACACAAACTAGCTGGAGAATCACATTAAAAAATGTGAAATCAAATTCAGGCCCTATTTATTGCATTGTAATCTGAAGCCAAAGTTAGTTACCACATACTTATTTTGCTTGAGAAAGGATACTCTTCCTACCTCATTTGGGAGGAAATAAATTATGGCTGTTCTGAGTATGGGAAATATAAAATTTGTACTCTTAACCTTTAAACTGTCCAAACGTAGATCTACATTTTTTCAACATTTGAAAGTATGTAAAAAAAAGTAGATTTTTTTTTTTACATTTGAAAACACGTAAAAAAACTTTGATCTACGTTTTTTTTTATGTATATTTGAAAATATGTAAAAAAAACGTAGATCTACTTTTGGAGCACTTCGCATGTGAACTGCTTGGACAGTTTAAGGGTTAAGGATGGTTAAGAATATTCAGGTTTGGTGAATAATTTCAGCTCTGGTTCAATAAATAAGCATGATAAGTGATAAACTTTTTTATTTTTTTTACCTCTACCTTGGTGGAAAATGGTTGATGTGTTAAAAAAGTTTGGGGGAAAAGTGAGATATCTTATGAACTGTTGAAACCTGAAGCCTTATACATTCATGGCTTGTCTCTAAATTAATAGAGGCTGCATGGTTGTCTGTCCTGATAGATACTAGTTAAGAGTTTGATTTTGATTAGAAGTCTTTTTTGAGAGAACCTTTTCATCTGCTGATTTAAATGTGTTAAATTACATTGCCTACAGTTACTTTTTGCTGATGATACTGTGCTTGTGGGAGATTCTAAAGAAAAATTTCAAAGGTTAGTGGACGAGTTTGGGAATGTGTGTAAAGGTAGAAAGTTGAAAGTGAACATAGAAAAGAGTAAGGTGATGAGGGCATCAAATGATTTAGATAAAGAAAAATTGGATATCAAATTGGGGAGGAGGAGTATGGAAGAAGTGAATGTTTTCAGATACTTGGGAGTTGAAGTGTCGGCGGAAGGATTTATGAAGGATGAGGTTAATCATAGAATTGATGAGGGAAAAAAAGTTGAGTGGTGCATTGAGGTTTTATGTGGAGTCAAAAAACGTTATCTGTGGAGGCAAAGAGGGGAATGTATTGAAAGGTATAGTAGTACCAACACTCGTATATGGATGTGAAGCTTGGGTGGTAAAAGCAGCAGCGAGGAGACGGTTGGAGGCAGTGGAGATGTCCTGTCTAAGGGCAATGTGTGGTGTAAATATTTTGCAGAAAATTCGGAGTGTGGAAATTAGGAGAAGGTGTGGAGTTAAATAAAAGCATTAGTCAGAGGGCAGAAGAGGGGTTGTTGAGGTGGTTTGGTCATTTAGAGAGAATGGATCAAAGTAGAATGACATGGAAAGCATAAAAATCTATAGGGGAAGGAAAAGAGGGGTAGGGGTCGTCCTCGAAAGGGTTGGAAAGGGGGTAAAGGAGGTTTTGTGGGCGAGGGGCTTGGATTTCCCAGCAAGCGTGCATGAGGTGTTAGATAGGAGTGAATGGAGACGATGATACTTGGGACCTGACGATCTGTTGGAGTGTGAGCAGGGTAATATTTAGTGAAGGGATTCAGGGAAACCGGTTATTTTCATATAGTCGGACTTGAGTCCTGGAAATGGGAAGTACAGTGCCTGCACTTTAAAGGAGGGGTTTGGGATATTGGCAGTTTGGAGGGATATGTTGTGTATCTTTATACGTATATGCTTCTAAGCTGTTGTATTCTGAGCACCTCTGCAAAAGCAGTGATAATGTGTGAAAAATATATATATGTTTATTTATTTATTTATTTATTTTGTGCGTGTTTTCTTTTTATTTTGAGTAAGCCTTACGGGAAAAAGGGTTGCTAAACATTGCTCCCAGCATTTTAGTCGACTTGTATAACACGCATGGCTGATGGAGGAAAGATTCTCATTGCACTTTCCCATGGATGTGAAAGGAAAATACAGTGGACCCCCGCTTTACGATATTAATCCGTTCCTGAGAGCTCATCGTAAGCCGAAATTATCATTAACCGAATTAATTTTCCCCATAAATAATGGAAATCAAATTAATCAGTTCCTGACACCCCAAAGTATGAAAAAAAATTTTTTTTACCACATGAAATATTAATTTTAATACACACAAACTGAAGAAGACATGCACAATTACTACTATACTAGAATAGAATACATAACACTTACCTTTATTGAAGATCTGGTGGTGATTGATGGGATGGGAGGAGGGGAGAGTGTGAAAGTTATTGTTTAGAAGGGGAATCCCCTTCCATTAGGACTTGAGGTAGCAAGTATTTTTCCGGGGTTACTTCCCTTCTTCTTTTAATGCCACTAGGACCAGCTTGAGAGTCACTGGACCTCTGTCGCACAACAGATCTGTTCTGTTCCTTTAAGACTTTCCTAAAATGGACCATAACATTGTCATTGTATAAGTTGCCAACATGGCTTGCAGTAGCTGTGTCAGGGTGATTTTCATCCTTAAAGGTTTGCAGTTCAACCCACTTTGCACACATTTCCTTAATCTCTTTTTTCAATTCCACACTAATTCTCGCCCTTTTTACCACAGGGATGGCACTAGAAGCTTTCTTGGGGTCCATGGTGACTTATTTTGCAGTTACAAGCACTAAAAACACTGGGATAATGTGAAATGTACTGAATGTATGCATAGATGCGATCGCACTGGCTGGCTTGTAAACACTGGCACTGAGGCCACACATGGGACGCGTCCAGGACGAATCACGTAAGGCGAGGCAAAATTTTTGTGTTCAAATGCTTCGTATGGCAGATTTAACATAACGTGATGCGTTCGTAAAGCAGGGGTCCACTGTACAGTGGACCCTCAGCCAATGAAGGCATCGTCTAATGATAAATTCGTCCAACGAAGCGTTTGAGTGTAAAAATTTGGGCCCGACGTATGAAAAACTCGACCAACATGATTTGTCCCGAACATGTCAGTCCAGCCTGAGTGCCTCAGCTACCCTGCCATCATTGTTTACAAGCCAGGGTGGACGGTTCCACACATATATTCGGTAAATTTTGTATTATTCCATTGTTTTTAGTGCTTGTAACTGCTAAATAAGCCACCATGGGCCCAAAGGAAACTTCTAGTGCCAACCCTGTGGTAAAAATGGTGAGAAATACTATCGAAATACTATCGTACCATGGCCAACTGTTGCTGCACCACCATCAGCTGTTGCTGCACCACCGTCAGTTGCTGCTGTACCACGATCAGCTGCTGCTGCACCACAGTCAGCTGCTGCTGCACCACAGTCAGCTGCTGCTGCACCACCTCAGCTGTACTAGTGCTCATATTGGTGGATTTAAGGCCAGCAAAGGTTGGTTTGAGAGATTTAAGAATTGTAGTGGCATACACAGTGTGATAAGGCATGGTGAAGCTGAAAAATTCCAACCCCAACAAGTGTTCACTTGTGATGAAACAACCCTGTTCTGGTAGAAAATGCCAAACAGGACCTACATTACTCAGGAGGAAAAGGCACTCCAAGGACACAAGCCAATGAAAGACAGGCTAACTCTCATGTTTTGTTGTAATGCTAGTAGGGATTGCAAAGTGAAGCCTTTACTCGTGTATCACTGAAAATCCCAGTGTTCAAGAAAAACAGTGTCTCATCACTCATCAGTACTCTTCAATAAAGGTAAGTGTCATTTTAACATTTATTTATGTAGTTATTGTGCATGTCTCATTGTTTTCTTTGTAGGGAAATGTATATTTAATGAATTTTTTTTTTTTAATACTTTTGGCTGTTTGGAACGGATTAATTGGATTTCCATTATTTCTCATGGGGAAAATTAATTCAATTAACAATAAATTCACCTAAAGATGAGCTCTCTGGAACAGATTAATATCATCTACCGAGGGTCCACTGTAATAATAAGAACTATTAAGAAAAAATTAGAGTTAGAAAACTCAGGTTAATGTATATTCATAAATGTGTACATGCATGTGTAGTGTGACCTAATTGTAAGTAAAAGTAGCAAGATATACCTGTTAGCTTGTGTGTATGAGATAAAAAAAGACACCAGCACTCCTTCTTTCAACAAACCGGCAGTATCCCACCGAGGCAGGGTGGCCCAAAAAGTAAAACAAAAGTTTCTTTTTTAAATTTAGTAATTTATACAGGAGAAGGGGTTACTAGCCCCTTGCTCCTGGCATTTTAGTCGCCTCTTACAACATGCATAGCTTACAGAGGAAGAATTCTGTTCCACTTCCCCATGGAGATAAGAGGAAATAAACAAGAACAAGAACTAGAAAGAAAATAGCAGAAAACCCAGAGGGGTGTGTGTGTATATATATGCTTGTACATGTATGTGTAGTGTGACCTAAGTGTAAGTAGAAGTAGCAAGACGTACCTGAAATCTTGCATGTTTATGAGACAGAAAAAAGGACATCAGCACTCCTCCCATCATGTAAAACAAATACAGGGCATAGGAAGACTCAAAACTCGTCACAGGTATTCTGTCTTACACTCATTTTGGAGGACAGTGGTACCTCCCTGGGTGGTTGCTGTCTACCAACCTACTACTTGGATGGTGTATTTATCCGTAGTGAAGGGGATGAGGGGTAGGGGTCATCCTAGGAAAGGATGGAGGGAGGGAGGGGGTAAAAGAGGTTTTGTGTGCAAGGGGCTTGGACATGCAGCAGGCGTGTGTGTGTTAGGAGTGAAGGGAGATGAGTGGTTTTTGGGACCTGATGAGCTGTTGGAATGTGAGTAGGGTAATATTTTGTGAAGGGATTCACGGAAACCAGTTAGCCAGACTTGAGTCCTGGAGGTGGGAAGTACAGTTCCTGCACTCTAAAGAGTGTTTCAGAGGCATGCAGAATATTGTTATTGAATGTCAATTTTATTGTTAAAAATATGAAACGTTTATAAAGCTTTGCACATTTGATGTTCTTAATGCAAAGAATAGTGTGAATTAGAAAATAGCATGATACATAAAAAGCTACTTACACAGTTAACCATTAGTTTTATCAGCATATAATGCTCTGTATTGATTGAGTTCTTGATATTTCTAATCCTCAAAATCCTGAACGTGATTCAATAACTTACATGAATATCATGCTATCTTTTATGTAAATATGTATACTATGTTGTGATTGTTTTGAATTATCCTGCTTTTTATTGGAAATGACTAATTAGATATAGATAGATTAGGCAAATAGATTTATATAGTAATACTAATGTGCTTCATTTATTTAACAATAAACCTTTATGAACTCAACATAACCAAACTTGCTTTGAGTCCTGGCTGATCTTTTATTGCTTTAATACCTCACTGATCTATGTATTCTTACTTTGGGACCTAGCTGATCCTTGCATAACTTACTTGATCAAAATAAATTCAACCAGAAATGTGTAAGATTTCATTCCATGTGGCATGATAATATTTTCTTTAAGATTTTGTTACTCGATGTACAGTTAGCTAACTCCCCCATACATACTGCACAGGTTACAATCCTGAAAATCTGTATGTTACATAAAATAGGTGAAGACCACATCAGTCAGCAGAAAACTGGTGTCATGGCAATGCCACAGTCAAGCTCCAGTACACTGAGTACAGTACATGCTGTTTCACAACTCCACAGCTTTCTCATTCATACCTTTTACTGCCAACATTGCCAAGCTGAAAGCTCAGTCTGTCACCATTTTTGAAATAATTAAAAAAAAAAAAAAGAATTTTAAATTCTAAAATGGTAGAGAATTTCAGATAATTATACAAGTGAAAAATATCAAAGCCATACAAAGTGTTAGACTGAATTATAAAATATATTTATGAAGAACACTATTTAATATTAGTAAAAAACAAAAGAAATGCTTTATGCAATGGACAAGACTTATGATACTAGGGTTTCAAATGACTTAAAGAATTGCATAGTTGTTAGGTAAGACACACATGCAACAGTTAGGTATCTTTATTTCGAAACGTTTCGCCTACACAGTAGGCTTCTTCAGTCGAGTACAGAAAAGTTGATAGAAGCAGAAGATACTTGAAGACGATGTAATCAGTCCATCACCTCAAAACTTTAAGGGTAATGGACTGATTACATCGTCTTCAAGTATCTTCTGCTTCTATCAACTTTTCTGTACTTGACTGAAGAAGCCTACTGTGTAGGCGAAACGTTTCGAAATAAAGATACCTAACTGTTGCATATGTGTCTTACCTAACAACCTGTCGGTATTTTATACCATTTTAATGTTCAATTGCATAGTTGCAAAGTTGGGGATCATGGAGCACTTTGTATGAAAAAAGATTTCATCCATTTAAATTATCTATTATAGACTAATTCGGTTGTTCACACTGAAATTTTTTCTGGCTCTTTTGCTAGTATGCCTTCTGTATTATCCATTGATTGCAAAATGCTGCCCATTCAGCTATCAGAACTACTATAGAAAGAATCCAGAATTTGTTGATTAAGCCAATTTTACACTATTTTTAACATTTTATTATAAAACAGATGGGGTTGGGGGTGGGGAGGGTGATTCCTACCTTTAGAAAAATTGCAAAAAATGAGCTATTTTCTCCATTTTGAGGCCTGTTGTAGGCAACTTCTGGTCTGACACTAAGCAAAATAATCTTCATTTCATGAGTATTTCTTCCTTTTTGTCAATTGGTATCAAGAAACAGATTGAAAATCTCTCAAGAAAATGCCCCAAAGTTGTTGTAATTCAAACACAATCAGAGGTTAGCTGTTCTCATCATGCACTATGTAGGGCATGAGTTTTTTTTTTTTTATGCTGTGCACAGACCCATTCTCTCATATCGAGGCCAAAATCCCCCTCCCCCTCAGCATATTTGAGGGCACCTGATTTACGTGTAGATCTACACAACTGCCACTGGTCCCAGTCATGTAGATCTACATGAGAGACAGCGAAAGTGTTTAGCACTTTTGTTTTACACTTTTATATCAGTCGGCTAATCCAGGGAGATATCTTGATGCTTGTGATGGGTGATGTTTAAAACTATAGATGTAAATGTATCCATTAATGCTTGCTCATTTAATAGTGTCCAAGGATCAGCTGCAAGTTATGAAATAAACAAAAAAAATATTATAATGTGTTAATATTAATTTAATAGTCATTTACTTTAATTATTTTACCCCTACTTTCACTGGTTATGAGGAGTTTTATATCTTGCTAAGACCTTGCCCTCATGCATAGAATAGAAACAATAAGCAGATGAATAGAAGTCAGTGCACTTATGATTTACAGACTTTGCTTGCACAGCCTGTTCACTAAGCATGTATGTGTTTTAACCTAATCACATGCATGAGGTGCAGCTTTGCTACACTTTGGACTTGTTGCATTTCAGATTTTAGTTATTGTAAAATATCCTTTTGTGCTGGCCCATTGTAAATATTCCTATTTTTTATTTATTTATTTATTTATTTTCAAATTATTTAAAATGCTCCTTGTGTGTGTGTTTGTGTGTGTGTTTGTGTGTGTGTTTGTGTGTGTGTGTGTTTGTGTGTGTGTTTGTGTGTGTGTTTGTGTGTGTGTTTGTGTGTGTGTTTGGTGTGTGTTTGTGTGTGTGTTTGTGTGTGTGTTGTGTGTGTGTGTGTTTGTGTGTGTGTGTTTGTGTGTGTGTGTGTGTGTGTGTGTGTGTGTGTGTGTGTGTGTGTGTGTGTGGCATGTGTGTGCATGTGTGTGTGTGTGTGTGTGTGTATGTATGGTGCATCATTTAGCATTAACCTCTTTATTTTGTCTCCTCCCCAACCCCCTTCTGTCCCGTGTTGCGTCTCATAGTCCAATCCTTCCCTTCTATTCTGGTGTTGTCAACTCTGTGCCCGTCATACCCTGTGAAAAGTAAGTGAATGGTAACCAATTCCCAATGGAAGGAAAATTCTCATAGGAGTGGGAATGGCCATGTAAACATACCCCTAGAAATGACAAATACTGTGATAATTAGCTTGCACACATTAGGGAAATTTTCAGTAAAGATGGTATAACAGTTTGCCAACCTTGATTGGTGCATGCTTACTGCTTTTCAATTCATATTCCCAAACTTACCACTTTTAAACACTATTAAAATTTTATATGAAGTTAGCTTCAAATAGATGCTATTTTTTTCTCCAGGAAATTATTTCAACATTATTTCTTTGTTTGCTAATATATTAGAATATTTTTATTGCTGAAAGCAACAATCTTATTTTTTAGTTAATTTAATATATAAATTATAATATAGTTTGCATGTATTCATATAGTTGAGCAATTAACTATACATTTCACAGTATTTGTCATACATGCATGGAGTTGCTAAAGTAAGTCAGATGGCCCTAATATAAAAATAATGCTTAAAAATCTCCTGAGGATTTCCATAGATATTTGGTGTACTGTTGAAAGCAATATGCTGTTTGAATTGGAAAGTAATTAGTTCATGGGGTCACTGCATGCCTTTAATTCTCTCCCAATAATGATAATGAATTCCTACAGGCTAAAATGGAAGTGGGTGCCTAGTTTTGTTGGATGTTTTATTGTACTAATTGTTTCAACAAAGTGTTCATTTAGTTTTTCATTGCATTTTCAAATTTATGCTTATGTATATTGTACACTTGTTAATTGTAGTTGCTTTTTTTGTGTAATCTCCAAACTGACTGTGATAATTGAGCTTCAGCTCCTGGTCCCTACTCCTAACCCATAATTGACCAGCTTCATGCATTCTCATCCTTGTGTTTTATCTTTTTTTTTAAGTCATGTAAGAAGTTTGCCTCCCCTACAGTACTTTCCTCCTGCTCAGTCAGGTGTTAAGCTTCAACTGTGTGTATAAGTTTCCAAGAAACTAGGACAGAACTGAACTTTTCTCGGGAACTTTATTATCATTACGATTTCATGAGTCAACTGTATTATTGTTTATTTCTTGACTTTGATTACAGAGATGACATACTCCATCAGGCATCCTAATGACAAAACATAATTCGTCAAGTGCTTAATGGAATTGAAGATAAACCATTACACTAATTACCTTAACTTCAGTAAAGAGAAAATTACAAGTTCTGGAAAATAATTATTTTAGTTTATACTAAAATATATATTGTGGCTTATTCAGTTTCCTACAGTATTAGTAAGTACAAGAGTATAGCCATAGCCCTGCTCGTGGTATTTTTTTTTTTAATTCATTAAATAAATTAATATTGTACTGTACTATATTGTGAAGGTACTTGGGGAAAACAGCAAACTGGAGGTAAACTTTTGAGGTTGGGAAATATAAAGACTACACTGAAAGTAGGGTAGGGAGAATGTAGTTTGGTTGGTGAGCATTGTACTGTGAAGTCTCTGCTTTCCTGATGAATAATGTTTTTAGATTAAAAATGGCTATAGTATAAGATTTTATTTCTTTACCCAAGTTTCTAGTAGTAGCATGAGGGATGGTCTGATAAAATATGATTGTTTTACCAGGGTTTTCCTACTCGGCAATTTCTGTCCTGGTAAAACTAAGTACTACTTCACCATCTTCGAGTGATGTTCTATGACCTATCTGTACAACAGTTTGTGATTTAATCACAGCAGAAGTGCAGAAACTATGAAAATGCAGTAACCTAAGGAATTTGGTCTATATTACATAACTAATAATTTGAGTGGGTTAGGGTCCTGAAATCAGCCTTACTGGTGAAATAGGATTTCGTTCTTTATAGCTAGAAGTAGTATTTTTTTTTTTTGTCCAAAATAGCATTTTTTATTTTCATACCTTACATTGTAGATATCATTACTTGTTGGTCTAGAAATATGTCTTGGGGCATACAGATGTTATGTAGATTTAGCCTGTGTATGTATATGATGTCATGATGTAGAAAAAATATTGTAATTAAAACAAATGCTCAAAGTGGTTTTGAATATTTTTTGATGTATATTTGTACATTATTTTACCATGCTATTAAGAACTTAAAACCTCAACATGTAGGATACAAATTGAAATTGTATTTATGTGAGGATTAGAAATGGGTGTGAAGCATGGGTGATGAATGTTGCAGCGAGGAGAAGGCTGGAGGCAGTGGAGATGTCATGTCTGAGGGCAATGTGTGGTGTGAATATAATGCATAGAATTCGTAGTTTGGAAGTTAGGAGGAGGTGCGGGATTACCAAAACTGTTGTCCAGAGGGCTGAGGAAGGGTTGTTGAGGTGGTTCGGACATGTAGAGAGAATGGAGCGAAACAGAATGACTTCAAGAGTGTATCAGTCTGTAGTGGAAGGAAGGCGGGGTAGGGGTCGGCCTAGGAAAGGTTGGAGGGAGGGGGTAAAGGAGGTTTTGTGTGTGAGGGGCTTGGACTTCCAGCAGGCGTGCGTGAGCGTGTTTGATAGGAGTGAATGGAGACGAATGGTTTTTAATACTTGACGTGCTGTTGGAGTGTGAGCAAAGTAACATTTATGAAGGGGTTCAGGGAAACCAGCAGGCCGGACTTGAGTCCTGGAGATGGGAAGTACAGTGCCTGCACTCTGAAGGAGGGGTGTTAATGTTGCAGTTTAAAAACTGTAGTGTAAAGCACCCTTCTGGCAAGACAGTGATGGAGTGAATGATGGTGAAAGTTTTTCTTTTTCGGGCCACCCTGCCTTGGTGGGAATCGGCCAGTGTGATAATAAAAAAATAAAAAAATAGAAATGACCTTCAGAAATAGTTTTTGTGATGTTCATGTAGACATAAGGGAACTCGTTACTCAGTTTTAAGCTAATATAGCAGTGAAGTATGCATTGTACCTCAACGTGTTCTTCATCAGGAGCTTCAATTCTGAAAAGTTTTAATTGTATTTTTTAGTTTGATTTTAAATTGTACACAGGTTTTTAACTATTGCTAATATGCCTTTCTTCATTAGTATTAGTTATAAATATATGTACTTTATGTAATCTCTTGTAATATTAGTAAGGGTGGCTAAACGGTTTCTATATATAGTTATTTAACAGTGGTACAGATTTGTAATTATGGTGGTATAGTAATATGTAGTTTATTTTGTGACTTGAGTTGTGATTAATGTAACCTTGCGTAAGCATGCAGAGAGCATGTACTAATGCAGTAAATGAAATTAACACTGACGTAGTTTGACTTGTCTCAACTCGCAGTTATTTTCACTCGTGTAGATTGACTACTAATACTTTTTTTTTTTTTGTTTAGCTAAGATTAAAAGAACTTGTGCATTACAGTACTTACGTTAAAAATATTTTGCTTTAATTTTTCTGAGGCATATTTTGATTGTTTTAAATAGTGTTTTAAATAGTGTACCATTTAATTTGTTAAAATATGAGCAGTTGACAGCTACTTCATTTAGGTTCCTGATAATCCAGTCAGTGTAGAACTTTAACAGATCTCTTGATTACTGATGGTCTTCAGCAGTTAATGTGTGGAGAGACAGTGCTGAACATGTTTGATGAGGACTGTACACACTACCCAGCTCTTGAATGTGGAATGTACCATGAAAAAATTAGAAATCCTGCAATATTCAATATTATAATATTTGAAAACTGGAGGTGGTTGGGTTTCATACTAATCTAAAATAGGCTGGCTGCTTTATTGCTTATCTAAAATATGTTTAATATTTTTTGCTCAAATTTTGCTGAGAAGTCAAATCAACTGTTTTGAGGAACTGTATTAATAAAACCCTTTCTCCCTATGATCACTTTAAATTCTTAAGATTACTATGTAATTACTCTGTCAGTATTCAGAAATTGGCAGCCCTGGTTACCATGCAGAAGAGGTCCCAGTTCATGCACCGCCTCCTTGCATATTGGACTCTAAAGCGTCAGTCACGAAATGGGGTTCCTCTTCTTCGACGTCTCACCACATCACACTCACGACGCAACAATCGGCCGCTAGAGGATAAAGTATCCAGCATGAAGGATAAGGAAAGAATTATTAGTGTAAGTCTGGCATTGGCATATTTTTGACGTAGGTTATACTTGATCAAGATAAAAGAATAAGGATTTAAAATACAGTAGTACCAGAGTCATCTGTAAAAACTTGCATTTGTGGTCACAGTGGGACCCATTCTAACCTCCCTCTGGTATATAAATATACCTAGTTAGATGAATCTTATTGCAGCCAGCTGGCCCAGTGGCTTACGCACTGGCCTGGAGTTATACAACTCACTTGCCTTGAGTTCGAGCCCAACCCATGCTGTGGTTTGTTTGAAATTGTGTTCTTACGATTTCATGAGTCAATCTTGCTTCTTTACCGATGAAATTTAGTATTAAAGAAATTACATTACTGTATTGCCATTCTGTCACTTTTTTAAGGAAAGTCACTGATTTTATTAAAATGTAGGCCTTGCATAGTCAAGGATATTGAGTTATAGTAATTAGACACCCCCTCCCTCCCCCCCTTTTTTTTAATGCAATGAGATGTGAGTAGCAGTGCCACTGAAGTTTAGTATTATCATGGATTCCCCATGCCTTCTGTTGTGGTGATTTACTTAATGTAATGGAGGAGTGTATAATGAGAAACAGTGAATAGATAATAACTATATTTATTAATGTTCATTCATCTATATGTCTGTCTTTTATTAAAAAATATCCCTATTGCTTTTGTCTTCTTAGAAAAATAGTTGTATACCATATATAAATTAATCTGTATGCAACTCTGCATCTTACATGGTCTTTGCACACATTTGCTTATCTGTAGAGGAAGGAACAAATATTACTGCATTTAAAAATGCTCATGAATTTTATAAGAAAATATCAATAATGGTTAAGAAAATACGTAATAATAACTTTGGTGGGTAGTTTGCTCCATGGACTTGTCTGATAACTATGACTGTAATATCTTGTGTGTAAACAGGAGGCTGAGGGACTACGAGAAGAAATCAAATACTGGCAGAGACTGCGGCAAGATTTAGAAAGAGCTCGGCTACTCTGTGAACTAATAAGAAAGAGAGAGAAGACTAAAAGAGAGTTAGTTAAAGCGTAAGTATTATTGAAGAATTTATTACCTTAGTTATTTTTGGTCTTGTTAAATTAAAAAGGGGAGGGGAAAAGAGGAAGGGAGAGTGAGAGGGGAGGGGAAGAGAAGGGAAGGGAAGGAGAGGGAGAGAGTGAAGTTTGGGAAGTACCGTAGTAGTTTGCCCCGTTTGCCCAATGTTATGTACAAAAGATCTGAAAATTGGATGAATTCAGTAAGAGATGTTCACAGGTTTAAATGAAATTTACTTTACTGAATGGAGTGAGGGCTCAAACCTATGGCAAGCCAGTCCCCACTCCAATCAGTGAGATGTTTACAATTGTCATTAATTGATTGCTTGTGTATATTATGTGACGAAGGAATTTTAATCTCCTTTACAATGAGTTGATTGTACACAGTTCTGTACTTGATTAATGCTAACTTTCCAACTCAGTTTAAGCTACTAATTTTTTTTGTAAGTTATAGTACATAACTAATTTTATGTAGAGTTTGTGTAACTGGTTTAAAATATTGTGCTTCACTTCAGGAAAGCTGAGGAGAGAAAAGTGCAGCTGGCACCATTTGTGCACTTGCTGCTGCAAACTATTGATCTTATTCAGGAGAAAGACCAGCAAATGATTTTTGCCGAGCCTGTTGATTTAGTCGAGGTTAGTTTAAAACTAATTTACATTATAGCATGTGTATATCTTTAATTTATTATCACTTATGAGTGTGTAGTAGTAAGGAAAGGGTTGTCTATTTCTTTACAGCCCTTTTTCCCATTCACACTTTTTTGACATATTGCCTTAAATTAAAGGATAATAAACAAAACAATTTATTTTTAGTATAGTAATTACTATTCTCTCACATAACTCAGGTTCATGACTACTTAGATGTGGTGAAGCATCCAATGGACCTGTCCACGATGAGACAGAAAGCACAAACTCACCAGTACAGTGATGTTGACCAATTTGCCAGTGATTTTGAGTTAATGATTGACAATTGCCTTATTTACAATGCCAAGGAAACTATATTTTACCGAACGGCCGTCAAGCTACGGGATCAAGTAAGCTGGGTTTAATTTTGTTTGTGACTGACCTTTACAAATTACTGTAGATGCACATAACATGAAAAAGTTGTTAATCTGTACATACACTAGCTTAGTGAGGATTTGTTAATAAATTTATCATCATCATCATCAATCTTAGTGGAAAATTGTTTATGTATACAATAGGGTGTGTAGAAGACAGGGAGACTACTTCCCAGTAAAAGTAGGTCTTAGACAGGGATGTGTAATGTCACCATGGTTGTTTAATATATTTGTAGATGGGGTTGTAAAAGAAGTAAATGTTAGGGTGTTTGGGAGAGGGGTGGGATTAAATTATGGGGAATCAAATACAAAATGGGAATTGACACAGTTACTTTTTGCTGATGATACTGTGCTTATGGGAGATTCTAAAGAAAAATTGCAGAGGTTAGTGGATGAGTTTGGGAGTGTGTGTAAAGGTAGAAAGTTGAAAGTGAACATAGAAAAGAGTAAGGTGATGAGGGTATCAAATGATTTAGATAAAGAAAAATTGGATATCAAATTGGCGAGGAGGAGTATGGAAGAAGTGAATGTTTTTCAGATACTTGGGAGTTGACGTGTCGGTGGATGGATATATGAAGGATGAGGTTAATCATAGAATTGATGAGGGAAGAAGGGTGAGTGGTGCGTTGAGATATATGTGTGGAGACAAAAAACATTATCTATGGAGGCAAAGAAGGGAATGTATGAAAGTATAGTAGTACCAACACACTTATATGGGTGTGAAGCTTGGGTTGTGAATGCAGCAGCGAGGAGGCGGTTGGACACAGTGGAGATGTCCTGTCTAAGGGCAATGTGTGGTGTAAATATTATGCAGGAAATTCGGAGTGTGGAAATTAGGAGAAGGTGTGGAGTTAATAAAAGTATTAGTCAGAGGGCTGAAGAGGGGTTGTTGACGTGGTTTGGTCATTTAGAGAGAATGGATCAAAGTAGAATGACATGGAGAGTGTATAAATCTGTAGGGGAAGGAAGGTGGGGTAGGGGTCGTCCTTGAAAAGGTTGGAGGGAGGGGGTAAAGAAGGTTTTGTGGGCGAGGGGCTTGGACTTCCAGCCAGCGTGCGTGAGCTTGTTAGATAGGAGTGAATGGAGACGAATGGTATTTGGGACCTGACGATCTGTTGGAGTGTGAGTAGCGTAATATTTAGTGAAGGGATTCAGGGAAACCGGTTATTTTTATTCAGCCGGACTTGAGTCCTGGAAATGGGAAGTACAATGCCTGCACTCTAAAGGAGGGGTTCAGGATATTAGCAGTTTGGAGGGATATGTTGTGTATTTTTATAGGTATATGCTTCTAAGCTGTTGTGTTGTGAGCACCTCTGCAAAAACAGTGATTATGTGTGAGTGAGGTGAAAGTGTTGAATGATGATGAAAGTATTTTCTTTTTGGGGATTTTCTTTCTTTTTTGGGTCTCCCTGCCTCGGTGGGAGACGGCCGACTTGTTAAAAAAAAAAAAAATTGTAAAGCAGATTACTCGTGTTAATGCATTACTAGTGCAATAGGCTCATGTCATCAGTTATTTAACAGCATTTTCCTTGTTTAAATTTTCTTTAAGATAACTTTTTCTGTTTTACTTTCATTATCATAATCTTTAATCAGTAGATAACTGTCATTACTTTTAGTAAGAGTCAAAATCATTTACATGGATACTGATGGTGAATCTGAACTACAGCTGCTGTAAACTATCTATGTTCCTGAACACCCTGGTGGCCACAATGGCAGCTACTTTACTGCAAAGCTTGCTAAAAAAAAAAAAAAACTCGGTAAGAAGAGGAACATTAACTACAGTTCAATACTGATATTGAAGAAAACAGTGATATCATTATGCTTCTAGATGCTCTTAATGCTAGCTGTATTGTCATTTATGTTGTTATAAATCAAGACTTGGCTTGTGCAAGAAAGGTGTAAAATACCGACACTATGAAAATTTAGACATATGTGCAACATCTGGATATCTTTATTGTAGACGTTTTGCCATCCAGTGGCTTTATCGATACAGATTCTAGGACATGATTAGAAGACAGTAGATGACACTGTGCTCTTGGGAGATTCTGAAGAGAAGTTGCAGAGATTGGTGGATGAATTTGGTAGGGTGTGCAAAAGAAGAAAATTAAAGGTGAATACAGGAAAGAGTAAGGTTATGAGGATAACAAAAAGATTAGGTGATGAAAGATTGAATATCAGATTGGAGGGAGAGAGTATGGAGGAGGTGAACGTATTCAGATATTTGGGAGTGGACGTGTCAGCGGATGGGTCTATGAAAGATGAGGTGAATCATAGAATTGATGAGGGAAAAAGAGTGAGTGGTGCACTTAGGAGTCTGTGGAGACAAAGAACTTTGTCCTTGGAGGCAAAGAGGGGAATGTATGAGAGTATAGTTTTACCAACGCTCTTATATGGGTGTGAAGCGTGGGTGATGAATGTTGCAGTGAGGAGAAGGCTGGAGGCAGTGGAGATGTCATGTCTGAGGGCAATGTGTGGTGTGAATATAATGCAGAGAATTCGTAGTTTGGAAGTTAGGAGGAGGTGCGGGATTACCAAAACTGTTGTCCAGAGGGCTGAGGAAGGGTTGTTGAGGTGGTTCGGACATGTAGAGAGAATGGAGCGAAACAGAATGACTTCAAGAGTGTATCAGTCTGTAGTGGAAGGAAGGCGGGGTAGGGGTCGGCCTAGGAAAGGTTGGAGGGAGGGGGTAAAGGAGGTTTTGTGTGCGAGGGGCTTGGACTTCCAGCAGGCATGCATGAGTGTGTTTGATAGGAGTGAACGGAGACAAATGGTTTTTAATACTTGACGTGCTGTTGGAGTGTGAGCAAAGTAACATTTATGAAGGGATTCAGGGAAACCGGCAGGCCGGACTTGAGTCCTGGAGATGGGAAGTACAGTGCCTGCACTCTGAAGGAGGGGTGTTAATGTTGCAGTTTAAAAACTGTAGTGTAAAGCACCCTTCTGGCAAGACAGTGATGGAGTGAATGATGGTGAAAGTTTTTCTTTTTCGGGCCACCCTGCCTTGGTGGGAATCGGCCAGTGTGATAATAATAAAAAATAATAGAACTATACACAAAAGATGAGGTACTGAGGGACTGATTACCTCATCTTTTGTATATAGCTCTACTGTCTTCTAATTACGTCCTAGAATCTGTATTGATAAAGCCACTGGATGGCGAAACGTCTACAGTAAAGATATCCAGATGTTGCACATGTGTCTAAACTTTTCAAGACTTGGCTTAAAGATGTCATACATTTAGGAGATAACTTATAAATTAAGAATTAATTGAAGTTATAAAGTATGTGTTTTCTTCTTTGGGTCACCCTGCCTTGGTGGGAGATGGCCATTGTGTTGAAAAAAAAAAAAAAGTATTTTAGATGTGTCAAGTGAAAATGAAATATCAGTATTGAAGGCAAGTTTTGAAACTAGTGTAAAGGGGCACTGTATGACCCTTGTAAGTTTAGCGTTTTTTTTTCATTATAATAATAATGTAAAGGGGGGGGGGGAGATTGAACCTACCTACATGTTTGATAAATGAGAAGGAGTTGCTTATGATTGATTTAAATGTCAATTTTTTTTTAACTCTTAATGTAGCAAAAACTAGGAGATTAGAATAAATTATGCTATTTTTAAGATTGTGCAGGAATATAGACACAAACATAATTGGTTTTTAAAATGGAATATAGAGTTTCTCAATATCATCTGTACTTAATATGCTTAAAAAATTAAGCATTAGATGCTTTTATTAAAATATTACATATAGGTAGATGACTATGGTGTTGGAACCAGTGAAAAGTCCTCCCTTTATATTTATTTATTTTTTCATTACCTCCTGATTTCTGAAGGATTGGTCACATTTTAAATACAGACACTTTCAAACAAGAATAAGATGTGTAATGCAAGATCAGAAAAGTTTGTCCAAGACTTTAACATGCTAGTTTAACCCTTTCAGGGTCGAGACCCCCGATCCTGAACTCACTCTCAGGGTTGAAAAATTAAAAAAAAAAAAAAAGAAAATTATTTTTTCTTATGAAATGATGGAGAATCTTTTCCTGATGGTAATGACACCAAAAGTATGAAATTTTATGGAAAACTTACAGAATTATGCTCGCATAATTCCACATTGGCAATTTCGCCAACCCTGAGCCCTATTTTTGGCCAGTTCCAATGTTCCAGTTGACTAAAATCATAACTATTTTGTTAGAACTCCATTTGTTCTGTTGATTGAGTACAAGAAACTGCCCATTTATCAAATTCAACTACCCAAAAAAGTGGTCAGAAATTGGCAATACGGCCAGTTTCACACAAATTTCAAAAGATGCCAATTTCAAAATAGGGTCCAGAATAAACAAGGTGGGCATTCCTGGCACTAAAATAACATTTTCTCTGTTCATTATTTATTATATTTGTCTCCAGGCCCCACTTGCTTTCCATTTTGATTTTTTATTCTCGTAAAAAATAGAAGATTTACTGTTATGCAGACTACTGCATAATTGTAAAAGTGGTATAAATAATATCAGCACACTTGTGAAAGAATATTAGACTCCCTAGTTGACGTGTATTGGATACGTGGTGTGATTTGTTTTCTCTTGAACATTGGCAAAAATTGAACGTTTTCGCCACTTTGAGCTTAATTTCAAGGTACTTTTCATCGTAAAACAAGTCAAAATCATCTCTCTATTTTTGTAATATATCTTCAGTTCTATCAAATGAGACCAAGAAAACGAGAATACAACCATAAATACCATATGAAAATACACTGCTAAGTTGCTGTTTTAAACCAAAAACATGGTCGGAGTGTTTTTTTTTCCTCATTGTGCACTGCATGCTGCAGGATTTTTTTTTATACTGCGCACACTGATCACGCAGACCCATTCTTTCAAATGTTGGCCTACCAGCTTTCTTCCACTTGATTTGAAGGCGCTAGAATTTTGGCATGTAAGTACGGGACCGACCCTGGCTCTCAAGCCGTACATGTACGAGACCGACCCTCAAAGGGTTAACTAACATCAGATGAAGAAATTGCTTTCATCAGAGATCAGGTTTGTGTGGAATGAGTTAATATCTCCTTCATCAAGTAAATTTTTATTTTACTAAGCAGAAAAGGGAAACCTGGATAGACAAACACAAAAGGAGAAAAAATGGGAAAATTATCCTGTTGTGTATATACTTAAAGGTGTTTCAAAGATGAAGAAAATGGAATAAATCTAAAATTTGGCAGTGTACTTTGAGTGAAACTGAAGACAAGACCCATATCTAGGATAGTAAAAGAATACAGAGCCACCTTCATTTCATTCTTGTGTTACATGGACTACTGTGGCCAATTGAAATTATACCTTTCAGAAAATCAAAAGTTAAATTTAGGGATAGAGGGTGGGAAGTTATGAGTCAGAGATGATTTAACATGGAGTTCATAAAGAATTAAATGAAGCTGTATACATTTGGTCCCCTCAAAGAAGGTTCCTTGACACTGGTGAGGGGCTCTTGATCTAGGAAATTGGATCTGTACTCCAGTTCCCTGAATTAGTCTTGAATACTTTCTGCATCCCCCCTACCCCCACAGGCACTGTATAATCCTACAGGTTTAGCACTTCCCCCTTGATTATTATAATAATAATGTATACATTTGGCATTACTCCGTCTTTGAAAGTGATGCCAGTAAGTAATTAGATGAGTAAAAGATGCTGTAGAATGAAGTTGCTACATGATGGATATAGAAATATGTATGCCATCATATTTGGTCACCAATATTTTATATATTATTTCATACATTTGCATAATACATCAATTAGCTTGTGTCTGGACTCGTTGATTCCAGCTTCCCTAATTATTATTATTTTTTTTGGGGTGGGGGGGGGATAAAAGCACATAACACTTTCAGTAAAATATACAGTATTTTTGACTTAAATGACAATGGATCAATCACTAAACACTTAAAAAAAAATCGTAGTATTTAGGCACTTCCTAATGCTTTTCATTGAAGGCAAGTTTCAACTTGATCTTCAAATTTCTAGTTATTCTTTCAGGGTGGTGCTATAATTCGACAGCTGAGGAGAAATGTAGAGAATATTGGGTTTGACTTGGAAACAGGTCTTCTCTTACCCCACCGTCCAAAACCTCTACCCGAGTTCTCAGATAATAAGATTCTCAAGGAAGGTAAGCTTTCATTGCACATTATTTTGCATTTGCAGCAGCTTCGAGATTTGAATCAACTGGTAGTATTTTTTTATTAATTATCTTTATTATTAGCTGTTCCTTCAAAAAAAAAACTAAATTTTATTTTGAGAGCAGATGAAGGTGCAAATTTTGGATGAATAATATTATTAAGAGTTCCATTGAGGGAGTCTGAGAGTCAGTTTACATGTAATGTTACACAAATAACCTCAGCTTAATAAACTTGAAACTATTAATGATGTTTTGGTCCAACTTGGGCTATTAACTAGTCACACAGAAGTATGAATGGAAGGAAGCCAGAATATACAAGAGAAGGGGGCACAGGAGTAGTAGAATTGGAGGAGGGAGAGGTAATAATGTCTTATGTCATCTCCCTAGTTGAGTTCTGTCCTATGGGGTTTTTTGCTGCAGGGATTTTGTCCTACCCCTTTGGGACATTGGCTCTATAACAGTGCTCCTTTGTTCTCTTGTTCTTTAGACTACCTCCACTACTGCTGCTGCTATTATTTCTTTGCTGTTACTCCATTCTCTACCCACTTTTTTCACTACAACTAATACCTTCTTATTGCCACTTCTATCAGTGTTGCACCTCTGCCACTGCTGCTACTACAGCAGTATTATTACCTCTACCTCCTCCAATTCTGCCTCTCCTGTTCCCCCACCCCCGTCTCGTGTATATTCTGGCTTCCTTTCCTTCATCCTTCTCTGTGTGACTAGTTAATGGTCTGAGTCTGAAACATCCTCATAAGTTTGTCTTCTAAGTGCTGGTTATTTGTGTATTGTTCCGGTTATGGTATCGTGCCTTTATATTCTTGTAATTTTTTTTTTTTATCTTAGTTCACCTGTTGTCATTTTTGTTCAGTTGGCATAACTTGTGTTGCGAGAAAATGAGTAGCGGGTTTGGTGAATGTATATAGAGTTTGAAAGTTTTCGAAAGATGTTGTGACTTTAGAGGTTCAAAAATAAATGACTGAAGATCATGTGACTGCAAAAGCTGGGAATACTGTCAGTCATAGTGCATCTTGCTGATAGAAGGACTTTTTTGAAACCATTTTGTCGAGGGATTTTTTTTCCATAGCAGTTGTGATACGTGTGACTTTTACAGTTTAATCTGAATAATAAAATAGTGGTACTAATTAATTACCAAAGGAATATTTTTTTTGGAATGTTTTAATATAGTGCAACAGGACTGCACTGTGCATGTAAAATGTACTAATTTTTAAGTTGCAGAAAGTCGCGCAGACACCACGTTACTGAATTTGGCATGTCTGTTTTTAAATTGGACTTCCAGCAGGCATGCATGAGCGTGTTCGATAGGAGTGAATGGAGACGAATGGTATTTGGGACCTGATGATCTGTTGGAGTGTGAGCAGGGTAATATTTAGTGAAGGGATTCAGGGAAACCGGTTATTTTTGTATAGCCGGACATGAGTCCTGGAAATGGGAAGTACAATGCCTGCACTCTAAAGGAGGGGTTCGGGATATTAGCAGTTTGGAGGGATATGTTGTGTCTCTTTATACGTATATGCTTCTAAACTGTTGTGTTCTGAGCACCTCTGCAAAAACAGTGATTATGTGTGAGTGAGGTGAAAGTGTTGAATGATGATGAAAGTATTTTCTTTTTGGGGATTTTCTTTCTTTTTGGGTCACCCTGCCTCGGTGGGAGACGGCTGATTTGTTAAAAAAAAAAAATGTATTTGTAGAATTATGAAGCTTTTTATTTTTTAACACTTTGGTCATCTCCTACCGAGGTAAGGTGACCCCCTTCAAAAAAAAAAAAAAACTTTCATTATTATTAACTCCATCACTGTCTTGGCAGAGGTATGCTGACACTACAGCTCGGATGCCTCTCCAAACTGCAGTGTCCCCACCCCTCCTTCAAAGTGCAGGCACTGTACTTCTCACCTCCAGGACTCGGTTCCAGCTAACCAGTTTCCTTGAATCCCTTCATAAATATTACCTTGCTCACACTCCAATGGCATGTTAATCATAAAAATCACTTGCCTCCATTCCTATCTTACATGCTCACGTACCTGTTGGATGTCCAAGCCCCTCACAAAACCTTTACCCCATCCCTTCAACCTTTCCTAGTACAACTCTTACCCCTCCTTCCCTCTACACCTTATACACCCTCCAAGTCATAATATTTTGTTCTAACCTCTTTAAATGTCAAAACCACCTCAGCCCAATAGATAATACTTTTATAATGCTTGAAGCTACTTGAAATGTTGAAGAAATTCCACAAAGTCATGTTGAAAAACAAAGGATTCTTAAAGTGTACAAGTCAACAAAGATACTAATGGCTGAATGATGCAAATAATTATTTCATTTATGCATGTAATTGATGCAAATTTACTAGTTACTGTGAACTGTTGTCTGTGCGCCTCTGGCAAGACTGTGATCGTGTGAATGATGGTGCAAGTGTTTCTTTTTTGGGTCACCCTACCTTGGTGGGAGACAGCCAATATGTTAAAAAAAAAATTATGATCTACCACTGATTACCATAAAGCATAAATCTGTTCAGTTACTGCACCATAAACCAAATCCTGGTCAATCTCCTAGCTTCTGCAGTCTTAGTTTTGGTTGGAACTTGGTCATAATTTCCAGTAAACATTATTACTTGGCTAAACATGTACATAGTCAGTTTCATTTGAAATAGACTAGAAGATTTTGTTAGTTTTTATAGAATGTGTTTTAAAGTTTCTTGCTTCTAGAGCTTTGTTTGTTGAATTTATGCAGTTTCCCTTTCAGTTTTCTGTAAACATAAATATTTTTTTGTATATTTTTATAATTTATATTAGTTTATTGCTTGTTGACCTTACAATTGTGTAAAGTTTGCTTAATTGTTTTTGTGGTGATACAGTGCTAGTGCAGAGGTATCATGTATCAGTCATTGTCTTCTACTTTACAGTTGATGAAGCTCTTGCTGCTGATGTTGATGAGTCCTTGAGTTTAGAAGAGAGAGAGAAGACACTGCTGGAGTTACTGGACAAAGCTAACATGCTGCGACACCACATTGCTCGTATTAAACGTGTTAAAGTTATTAGGTGAATATGTTTTTATATTTTTAGCTGCTAATGAGTTTTGTAATTCATACATATTCCCAGACATAATTAATAATCAGCAGAGTGCACAAAATTCAATAAGGATATTATAAAAGAAGATGCATCTCATTATGGTACTTATTTATCCTATGGTGTATACCTTTGTACAGCTAGCCCTCCACTTTTGCGAGCTTCGAACATTCGCAAGTGCCCCGCCGCCCAGTTTTCTTGCACTTTATTTTATGTTTTCATGTGTTTTATGATTGTTCGTGGTTCAGTAAGTTAAGGAAGCAGTATTGTTAGGCTAAGTAAAAGCTATTATTATGTTTCCCTACAATATATTTGCGCATCATAACATTCGCGAATGCTACATTACAGTATTATATTTCCCTACATCATATTTGCGCACCAAGATTCGTAAGGTTCTTGATCCCCTAACCCTCGCGAATGTGGAGGGCCTCCTGTACGTTAGTCAATCTTTTTTTTATGTATTGCTCATTACCTGTACATTTGTGTAAAGATGATCCTTGTGCTTGTGTAAGGTTACACAGGTCGGCAATCAGTATTCCGGTTTTATCAGTAATCCGGCACTAATTTCAACTAACATAATTTCAAATTTCCATGGTTGCCACACTAACCTGCTGCTACTGTTTGGTGGTGCTACTTGCTGCATAAGTCATTCCAAGTAATTTTTTTTCCATTTATTGCTATAACCTGCTCACTTTTAGTCCTAGCCATGGTTCCAACGAATAAAAGAAATGCTTCTCGTTGTGTAGAGCACATACACAGTACCTTGTCTGTAAAAGATAAGGTGGCTTTGAAGCCACTGTCAGTTGCCATGAGCTCAGCTCCCTCAGATAAGCAGTGACCGGTAAATTTGGGTCTACATATGAGAGAATAGGTCTGTGTGGTAAGTGTGCACTATATAAAAAAAATCCTGCAGCATGCAGTGCATAATGAGAAAAAATTGCGACTGTGTTTATGGTGTAAAACAGTGGCCTTATGGTGTATTTTCATGTGGTTTTTATGTTTGTACTCCTGTTTTTTTGTCTCATTTGATAGAATGGAAGATATACAGTGGAACTCTGGATTTCGTACTTAATCCGTTCCAGAAGGTCGGTCTAAATTCGAAACCTACGAAAACCGAGTAACATTTCCCATAATAAATACGTAATGTAAATACGATTAATCTGTTTCAGACGCCCAAAAGTATTAACAAAAGATACATTTTATAGAAAACAATGAGAAATGAATATAAAGGAGTAATGAAATGGAAAAATGAACATTTAAATCACTTTTACCTTTATTGAAGAGTCTTGTTTGCGTATGGAAGTTAGTGAGGAGGGAAGAGGGAGGAGAATTTATTGTTTGGAGACAGGACAAAATACTTGAATATGATGCTGATATCAACTCTATGGCTTATTTATCTATCACAATTCATCTAATATGACATAATAAACAATATTAATAACATAAAAACATGATAGAATGAATAAAATATGTCATTTCGTACATGATTAGTGGTGGCTGCGGCAGCTGCCATTCTCCTGCTGTGACTACATATCTTCCCATTATTATAAGAGAAAACGGAGTGTTTGTGAGGCTAGCTGCACTACATCACAGTTTCATTAGGAAAACATTAAAACACTGTATGTAATTTATAAATAAGAATGTATAAAAACATAATAGAGAATGTAAAGCAATAAAGTGGTTATTGTATGTATACTATAGGACACACTTTCCTTGGAGGAGATGCTGGCAGAGGTTTAGGGTGGTGGAAGATAGCACAGGGCAACGTATGTTGTCAGTGGCCCTATAAACCTCCAACAACATTGGTGGAGTTAGTTTTGTATAGTCCTTTTTCTATCGCTTAATCGCTTAACTTACTTACTACTCTTAATGCTACACTTTATTGCTGGCTGGTGCTATAGCCTGCTGCTTTAGTATCATACATATCATAGAATCACTGAAGAATTCTATCATGTTTTTCACCTTTTTTTTACCAAAGGGCTGGCACTTAAGAACTTTCTTTGGGCCCTTGGTGGCTTATTTCGCAGTCACAATCAATAAACAAGCACAGAAATTGTGAAATGTTACAGATGAATGCTCACTCAACCAGTGACAGAGCCAGACTGAGACACATAAGTGGCGGCATCCTGGGCGGGCAGATGCCTCTGATGCGTATGATTTCCGGATGGAGATACGAAATCTGGACCAAAATTTTGCCCAAAAAAGTGTTCTAAATCCGAATTGTACGATATTCGGACTGTACGAAAACCAGAGTTTCACTGTATTACAGAAATAGATGTGGTTTTAATTGGTTTCACGACAGAGCACCTTGAAATTGAGCTCAAACTAGCAGAAATGTTTAATTTTCGCTGATGTTCAATACGTGTCTAACTGACTGTTCTAATACGCAGTCATGAATGGCTTGACATTATTTATACAATTATTACAATAATGCAGTAATCTGCAAGACAGTAAATCTTCTATACACAAATAACCCGCACATAGAAGAGAGGAGCTTACGACGACGTTTCGGTCCGACTTGGACCATTTACAAAGTCAAAGTGTGACTTTGTAAATGGCCCAAGTCGGACCGAAACGTCGTCGTAAGCTCCTCTCTTCTATGTGCGGGTTATTTGTGTATCGTTCCAGTCACGGTATTGTGCCTTTTTTTGTTAGTTAGTAAATCTTCTATTTTTTGTGTTAAAAACTCAAAATGGAAAGCAAGCGTAATATAAGAGGGGCCTAGAGACATGATTAATGAACAGAGAAAATGTTATTTTATTTCCAGGAATGTCTGCATTGTTTATTTTGGGCCCTATTTTTAAATTGGAATCTCTTGAAATTTGTGTGTGAAATTGGCCAGATTACCGATTTCTGACTCAGGTAGTTGAAATAGGTAAATGGGCGGTTTCTTGTACTCAGTCGACAGAATAGAATGAATGCTAGTGATATAGCTATGAGTTTGGTAGACTGGAACAGTGGAATGGGCCAACAATAGGGCATTAAGTGGATGAAATCGCTGATTCATAATATCACCGTTGGGTTAAGTATATTCTAACCTAACCACTCTGTAATCCGGCAGAATTACTAATCCGGCACCCTACAGGTCCTGATGGTGCCTGATTAGTGATGATCAACCTGTATCAGGTTTCTTATTAAGTATGTCCCTTTTGTTCTAGTTTTTTTTTTTTAACTTGATCCATGAATGTATTTGTCTCATGGTTTCCCTTTCTTTCATTTAATTTAGTTTAGTTAATTCTCCTGGGCTGTTTTGTTTGAGGTATTTAATTGTTTTTAGTATGAATCCTTTTTCTTTTTTCCTGTGAAACAAAAAAAATCTGTCTTCATTTAACCTCTTAGCAGTATTTATAAATTCTTTTATTTTTACCCTGTCGTGTTTCAAAAGGTCTTGTCTAATTGATGCATCCTTATAGCCTCCACTGTTTTTTGTCCTTAATTTTCTTTAGCTATTCTTCTTTTTGCTTTATCTATGTGAATAGTAATTTTCAGTGGCCTGTTCTTATCCTTGTCATATTTTCCAATTCTCCTCTATCCCATTACATGTTCTTGAGTGCTAAATTTTCTAAGCACTTTCTTTCCTCTGCCCAAAATTTCCCTCAGGAGCTTTGAATTATTTGCTGTCTTCCTTCCCCCCCTCCCCCCCAAGACTAATGTTAACCCTAGCTGTAATTTCCACAGCTAATACAATCTTCTTTTTCTAGTTTTTAGCTTTATATTCCTCTAGTTCTTTTATCTTCTTGAAGCTTTCGTTGGCATTTTTTGTACTATCAAGAACTAGCTGCACCTGTGTATCATTTGCATTTTTTTTTTTTTCAACAAGTCGGTCGTCTCCCACCGAGGCAGGGTGACCCAAAAAAGTAAGAAAATCCCCAAAAAGAAAATACTTTCATCATCATTCAACACTTTCACCACACTCACACATTATCACTGCTTTTGCAGAGGTGCCCAGAATACAACAGTTTAGAAGCATATACGTATAAAGATACACAACATATCCCTCCAAACTGCCAATATCCCAAACCACTCCTTTAAAGTGCAGGCATTGTACTTCCCATTTCCAGGACTCAAGTCCGACTATATGAAAAATAACCGGTTTCCCTGAATCCCTTCACTAAATATTACCCTGCTCACACTCCAACAGATCGTCAGGTCCCAAGTATCATTCGTCTCCATTCACTCCTATCTAACACGCTCATGCATGCTTGCTGGAAGTCCAAGCCCCTCGCCCACAAAACCTCCTTTACCCCCTCTTTCCAACCCTTTCGAGGACGACCCCTACCCCTCTTTCCTTCCCCTATAGATTTATATGCTTTCCATGTCATTCTACTTTGATCCATTCTCTCTAAATGACCAAACCACTTCAACAACACCTCTTCTGCCCTCTGACTAATGCTTTTATTAACTCCACACCTTCTCCTAATTTCCACACTCCGAATTTTCTGCATAATATTTACACCACACATTGCCCTTAGACAGGACATCTCCACTGCCTCCAACCGTCTCCTCGCTGCTGCATTTACCACCCAAGCTTCACATCCATATAAGAGTGTTGGTACTACTATACTTTCATACATTCCCTTCTTTGCCTCCATAGATAACGTTTTTTGACTCCACATATACCTCAGTGCACCACTCACCTTTTTTCCCTCATCAATTCTATGATTAACCTCATCCTTCATAAATCCATCCGCCGACACGTCAACTCCCCAAGTATCTGAAAACATTCACTTCTTCCATACTCCTCCTCCCCAATTTGATATCCAATTTTTCTTTATCTAAATCATTTGATACCCTCATCACCTTACTCTTTTCTATGTTCACTTTCAACTTTCTACCTTACACACATTCTCAAACTCATCCACTAACCTTTGCAATTTTTCTTTAGAATCTCCCATAAGCACAGTATCATCAGCAAAAAGTAACTGTGTCAATTCCCATTTTGAATTTGATTCCCCATAATTTAATCCTACCCCTCTCCCGAACACCCTAGCATTTACTTCTTTTACAACCCCATCTATAAATATATTAAACAACCATGGTGACATTACACATCCCTGTCTAAGACCTACTTTTACCGGGAAGTATTCTCCCTCTCTTCTACACACCCTAACCTGAGCCTCACTATCCTCATAAAAGCTCTTTACAGCATTTAGTAACTTACCACCTATTCCATAAACTTGCAACATCTGCCACATTGCTCCTCTATCCACTCTATCATATGCCTTTTCTAAATCCATAAATGCAATAAAAACTTCCCTACCTTTATCTAAATACTGTTTCACATATTTGCTTCAATGTAAACACTTGATCTACACATCCCCTACCCACTCTGAAGCCTCCTTGCTCATCCGCAATTCTACATTCTGTCTTACCTCTAATTCTTTCAATTATAACCCTACCGTATACTTTTCCTGGTATACTCAGTAAACTTATTCCTCTATAATTTTTACAATCTCTTTTGTCCCCTTTCCTTTATATAAGGGACTATATATTGCTCTCTGCCAATCCCTAGGTACCTTCCCTCTTTCATACATTTATTAAACAAAAGTACCAACCACTCCAACACTATATCCCCCCCTGCTTTTAACATTTCTGTCATGATCCCATCAGTTCCAGCTGTTTTACCCCCTTTCATTCTACGTAATGCCTCACGTACCTCCACCACACTTACATTCTGCTCTTCTTCACTCCTAAAAGATGGTATACCTCCCTGGCCAGTGCATGAAATTACCACCTCCCTTTCTTCCTCAACATTTAAAAGTTCCTCAAAATATTCTCGCCATCTACCTAATACATCCCTCTCCCCATCTACTAACTCCCCTACTCTGTTTTTAACTGACAAATCCATACTTTCCCTAGGCTTTCTTAACTTGTTTAACTCACTCCAAAATTTTTTCTTATTTTCATTAAAATTTCTTGACAGTGCCTCTCCCACTCTTTCATCTGCTCTCCTTTTGCACTCTCTCACCACTCTCTTCACCTTTCTTTTACTCTCCATATACTCTGCTCTTCTTATAACACTTCTTTGTAAAAACCTCTCGTAAGCTACCTTTTTCTCTTATCACACCCTTTACTTCATCATTCCACCAATCACTCCTCTTTCCTCCTGCCCCCAGCCTCCTATAACCACAAACTTCTGCCCCACATTCTAATACTGCATTTTTAAAACTATTCCAACCCTCTTCAACGCCCCCCACTACTCATCTTTGCACTAGCCCACCTTTCTGCCAATAGTCGCTTATATCTCGCCCGAACTTCCTCCTCCCTTAGTTTATACGCTTTCACCTCCCTCTTACTTGTTGTTGCCACCTTCCTCTTTTCCCATCTACCTCTTACTCTAACTGTAGCTACAACTAAATAATGATCTGATACATCAGTTGCCCCTCTATAAACATGTACATCCTGGAGCCTACCCATCAACCTTTTATCCACCAATACATAATCAAACAAACTACTTTCATTACGTGCTACATCATACCTTGTATATTTATTTATCCTCATTTTCATAAAATATGTATTACTTATTACCAAATTTCTTTCTACACATAGCTCAATTAAAGGCTCCCCATTTACATTTACCCCTGGCACCCCAAATTTACCTACTACTCCCTCCATAACATTTTTACCCCACTTTAGCATTGAAATCCCCAACCACCATTACTCTCACACTTGATTCAAAACTCCCCACGCATTCACTCAACATTTCCCAGAATCTCTCTCTCTCCTCTACACTTCTTTCTTCTCCAGGTGCATACACGCTTATAATAACCCACTTTTCACATCCAATCTTTATTTTACTCCACATAATCCTTGAATTTATGCATTTGTAGTCCCTCTTTTCCTGCCATAGCTTATCCTTCAACATTATTGCTACTCCTTCTTTAGCTCTAACTCTATTTGAAACCCCTGACCTAATCCCATTTATTCCTCTCCATTGAAACTCTCCCACCCCCTTCAGCTTTGTTTCACTTAAAGCCAGGACATCCAGTTTCTTCTCATTAATAACATCCACAATCATCTCTTTCTTATCATTTGCACAACATCCACGCACATTCAGACTTCCCACTTTGACAATTTTCTTCTTCTTATTCTTTTTAGTAATCTTTACAGGAAAAGGGGTTACTAGCCCATTGTTCCCGGCATTGTTATTCCTGTATAATTATTTTACATTTTTGTTTCATTCTCTTTCATGTATTATATTCTCCTTATCAATTATATTCTTTACCAATCTCATATCCATCTCTTCTCTTTCTAATATCAGCTACCAGTTGTATTTTCTGCTAGTCAAAAACTTTTCATTACATCTATATCACTCTTCCCATTTTCATCTTCCTTGTTCGGTTTGTATATCAGTCTGTCTTGCCTTACCTAGTTTTGTCCCACTTTGTCAATGGGTGTCCCGTAGCTTGATTGCTAGCGCACTCAGCTCACACACTGAGGTCCTGGGTTCGAATCTCCTCTGGTACAGCTGGAAAACATTAGGAACGTGTTTCCATAAGACACCTGCTGTCCCTGTCCCTGTTCACCCATCAGTTTAAATGGGTACCTGGGTGTAAGTCAACTGGTGTGGGTTGCATCCTGGGACAAAACTGACCTAATTTGCCCAAAATGCTCAGCATAACAAGCGGCTTTCCACATAGTAGTATGTCATTGATGTCAGCTAGGCCTGTATACCATGTACATGTTTTTTTTTTATTTCAAGAAGTTGGCCATCTCCCACTAAGGCAAGGTGACCCAAAAAGAAAGAAAATCCCCAAAAAGAAAATACTTTCATCATCATTCAACACTTTCACCTCACTCATACATAATCACTGTCTTTGTGGAGGTGCTCAGATATGACAGTTTAGAAGTTCCTCCAAACTGTCAATATTCAAACCCTTCCTTTAAAATGCAGGCATTGTACTTCCCATTTCCACAACTCAAGTCCGACTAACTGGTTTCTCTAAATCCCTTCACTAAATATTACCCTTCTCACACTCCAACAGCTTATCAGGTCCCAAAAACCATTCGTTTCCATTCAATGTTATCTAACATGCTCACACAAGCTTGTTGGAAGTCCAAGCCCCTCACCCACGAAACGTCCTTTACCCCCTCCTTCCAACCATTTCGAGGACAACCCCTACCCCTCCTTCCTTCCCCTACAGATTTATATGCTCTCCAGCTCATTGTACTTTGATCCATTCTCTCTAAATGACCAAACCAACAACCCCTCTTCAGCCCTCTGACTAATACTTTTAGTAACTCCACACCTAATTTCCGCACTCCAAATTCTCTGAAGTACAGTGCCTGCACTCTGAAGGAGGGGTGTTAATGTTGCAGTTTAAAAACTGTAGTGTAAAGCACCCTTCTGGCAAGACAGTGATGGAGTGAATGATGGTGAAAGTTTTTCTTTTTCGGGCCACCCTGCCTTGGTGGGAATCGGCCGGTGTGATAATAAAAAAAAAAAAAAAAAATTCTTTGCATAATATATTCACCACACATTGCCCTTAGACAGGACATCTCCACTGCCTCCAGCTGCCTCCTTGCTGCAGCATTTATAAACCAAGCTTCACACCCATATAAGAGTGTTGGTACCACTATACTTTCATACATTCCCTTCTTTGCCTTCATAGATAACATTTTTTGTCTCCACAAATACCTCAATGCAATACTCACCTTTCTTCCTTCATCATTTCTATGGTTAACTTCATCCTTCATAAACCCATCCGCTGACAAGTCAACTCCCAAATATCATTTCTTCCATGCTTTCTCTCTCCAATATGATATCCAATTTTTCTTTATTTAAATTGATACCCTCAGCACCTTACTCTTATCTGTATTCACTTTCAACTTTCTACCTTTACACATGTACATGTACATGTAGTAAATAAAGATATTATTATTGTATTATTATTATTCTATGGTGGGAAAACATACCCGTGCTTTGACCAGGTGTTTTTGGACATTATGGAAACAAAGGCTCTAGTGGTATGTCACTCTTTTACCTCAAATCCACATGGAATTTCATTCACCGAAGAATCTTTTATATTAATACAGTGGACCCCCGCTTAACGATCACCTCCCAATGCGACCAATTATGTAAGTGTATTTATGTAAGTGCGTTTGTACGTGTATGTTTAGGGGTCTGAAATGGACTAATCTACATCACAATATTCCTTATGGGAACAAATTTGGTCAGTACTGGCACCTGAACATACTTCTGGAATGAAAAAATATCGTTAACTGGGGATCCACTGTATTTCCTTTATATGTTAAGGGATACCACAAAGCATATTAATTTACTCCCTTCACTATAACAGGTAGACTGGTTTGTCTTCTAAGCAGGTCAGGATGTGTGCATCCACCTTGGGAATTTCTAACTAGTTTCTTTGATTACTGAATTGTTTTGAAACTAATGTATTATTAAGATCTGCAAACTTTAAAAGTTAAATGGATGAAGAGTGAGGGGAAGGGTAGTGTGTGAGATTTGGATGTTGGAGGATTTTTTAAAAAGCGACAAGATTGTATTTTAATTATTATTATTATACTTAGTGTTAGGTGTCCAACCCATGTGGGTTGTTCAGTGCAAATAGTGGTAGAACTGTGCTGCTGTCTGCCAATCTTAAAGCATAATAATGTGTATAACTGTATGTACCAAACTATTTAAAAATGTTAAATATAATGTATGTTGATTTGGAAACCATTTTAATCTAGATTATATTTATTTCAGGAGAGAAATTGGCATTGTGAGAAGGAAATTGGCCTTAAATCAATCAGGAAGTCTGTGTCACAAGTCCAGTGCAGAGTATTATGACTCTGATGATGACTCTGATAAGGATGATTCTGGTATGTTACAGAAAGTAAATGTGTGTAGGTGCAGTTGTGTATAAAATCTGTATAGCATACACTAGAAACTTTTTAATTTTTATCAAACTGGTCATATCGCACCAAGGCAGGGTGACCTAAAAAGAAAAATTAAAGTTTCTCTCATTAAATTTAGTAATGTATACAGGAAAAGGGGTTACTAGCCTCTCGTTCCTGGCATTTTAGCCACCTCTTATGACACACATGGCTTACGGACAAAGAATTCTGTTCCACTTCCCCATTGAGAAACATGATATACAGGTCGGCCATCACTTATCAGGCAATCAGTTAGCCAGTTCCATCAGTAATCTGGCACTAATTTCAGCTAGCATAATTTCAAATTTCGGCATTATAACTGACACAGAACATTATACCGACTCAAATTTCATCATTATACTGACTCAGAAATTGTGCAGATGGTTGTAAATCCACAGCAGCAAGCCAGTGGAGGAGAAAGAAATGATGAAAATGAGGAAGATGTAGCAGAAAGTGTCTCTATTGATAGGTTAATTAAGTGTATTCTAACCTAACCACTCTGTAATCTGGCAAACTCACTAATCCAGCACACTACAGGTCCCAATGATGCCGGGTTAGTGATGGCCAACGTATACTATAATTGCTTACTCTTGCATTCTTGCCTGACACTAGGCTTCTGGGGTTATTAATGGATCAGTATTCTAAATGAGAGAGCACACACATTCTTTAATGTATTTACTGAAGGTTAGGTTGTGTGACAGCATTGTGATCTTAAATCTTCTACTTCTTTCTTTTCTTTCAGCAAACCGGCCATATCCCACCGAGGTAGGGTGGCCCAAAAAAGAAAAACGAAAGTTTATCTCTTTAAATTTAGTAATTTATACAGGAGAAGGGGTTACTAGCCCCTTGCTCCTGGCATTTTAGTCGCCTCTTGCAACACGCATAGCTTACGGAGGAAGAATTCTGTTCCACTTCCCCATGGAGATAAGAGGAAATAAACAAGAACAAGAACTAGTAAGAAAATAGAAGAAAGCCCAGAGGGGTGTGTATATATATGCTTGTACATGTATGTGTAGTGTGACCTAAGTGTAAGTAGAAGTAGCAAGACATACCTGAAACCTTGCATGTTCATGAGACAGAAAAATGGACACCAGCAATCCTACCATCATGTAAAACAATTACAAGCTTACGTTTTAAACTCATTTGGCAGGATGGTAGTACCTCCCTGGGTGGTTACTGTCTACCAACCTACTACCTAGAAAATCTTTTACTTCTTTCTTCTTCTTTCAGCACACCGGCCGCATCCCACCGAGGCAGGGTGGCCCAAAAAGAAAAACAAAAGTTTCTCTTTTTAAATTTAGTAATTTATACAGGAGAAGGGGCTACTAGCCCCTTGCTCCTGGCATTTTAGTCGCCTCTTACAACACGCATGGCTTACGGAGGAAGAATTCTGTTCCACTTCCCCATAGAGATAAGAGGAAATAAACAAGAACAAGAATTAGAAAGAAAATAGAAGAAAGCCCAGAGGGGTGTGTATATATATGCTTGTACATGTATGTGTAGTGTGACCTAAGTGTAAGTAGAAGTAGCAAGACGTACCTGTCATCTTGCATATTTATGAAACAGACAAAAGACACCAGCAATCCTACCATCATGTAAAACAATTACAGGCTTTCATTTTACGCTCGCTTGGCAGGACAGTAGTACCTCCCTGGGTGGTTGCTGTCTACCAACCTTCTACCTAGAAAATCTTTTACTTATTCTCTCCATTTTAGAAAAAAAGATCTTGATGTGATAACCATTTGTAGAAACAAGAGCTCATTCTGAATTCAGAATTTCTGAAAGCATGATCTTCCTCAGAAAAATTTGATGATTAAAATTCAGTTTTTTGCTCTTATGTAGAAAATTCTTAAGTCTCACCATTATTGCTGAACATGAGTAATTGTGCACACTATTCCTGAGTTTAAAAATTCCGAAATGTATTTTTCAGATATTGATGACAGTTCAGTGATAGATGATGAAGCAGAGCCAGGTGAACCAAGTCGTCCTAGCACTCCACCTTCACTGCCATCACCGATGGTTGGCTCTCACCTCACCCATAGTCCAAGCATGTCCTCAGCACAAGCTAGGGCTTGCAATGTCTCTTTGTCAACCTCCCTTGCAGCTCCTCGTCAGCAAAGGATGGTTGGAATCAAAGGAACATCTAAGGTAAGTGTGATAATTTCACTTACATTTTGTAATATACTGGATTTTGTTTCATCGTGATAGTTTGAAGAGCTGTATATACTTTCTGTTGATGTATTCATTGAAAAACTGATTTTGCCTAACCTATTAGGCCTGCAGATGTTCAATTTTCTACATTGTATGCAAAGCTATTAAATACCCTGTGGCAAAGTCATTTGTTCAGTGTGATTTGAAAAACATCATCTGAAATATTTTAAATTAGCAGAGATGCTTAAAATGTTTGCCATGAACCACATTGCAGTGCTTTAAATGATTTATTAATTAATTTCTGACAGATGCTAGTGAGAGTCACTGAGGAACAAAAGGGAATGTGCATTAGCACTTTGCATTTTGTGCAGATGTTTTGTGTGGTGTTGTAAAGTTTTTTCTTTGAGTATTTGGTAAACATGTTATCTACTAATTCTGCTTTCTCTTGGTAGTCAATCTCTTAGTGCTAGCTACTCACTTTCCAACATTGGACCTGCTGATTAGGAGCTTACGGAAACTGTACAGTAATTTTGAATTACAAATATGTATTAAGTATAGAATTACTGTACATGCAACACTGTAATTTGTGTTGTACTGTTTCCTTTGATATCTTATTAGTACAGTACTGATAGCTGAAAAAAAAAGCTGTATAATAGTGTAAATGATGCCTGTATATAGAGTACACTCAGTATAGCATCAGAAAAAAAAAATGCAGTCATACACATGAGACAGCAGCAGTGAATGGGCTGGAGGTAATGCCTGTTCTTGTCTCAGGGTTTGATTATTTATTAAATATCAGTAGTTTATTTATTAAGAACTTTTAAATCATTTTGTCTTTTTTAAAGGAGGAACACAAACAGAAGCGAATAGATTCTTTTTTCACCCGGGTGAGCAAAACTCCGCAGAGAATATTAACTGACCAGCAAGATCCAGCTCCTGCCATTGCTGATGAAGCCAAAGCAGCTAAGCCAGAAAAGGAAGGTTAGTTGATTCATCATAACAAGTGTCATTTGTCGTGAAAAGCTGAGTAGCTAGTGAAAGTTTTCATCATTACCTTCATTAATGAACTTCAAAGTTTTGGGCAGTGGGGAGGGGGTGTTTTGATGACAATGGAAGGCTCTTCATATAAAGAATTGGCACTACCCCTCCTTTGGATTGAACCTTGTTACCTCCTGTTCCCCAGGTGCTGTAGTCCAGGACTTCTATTAAAGAAAAAAAAAATAATTTATTCATTTAAGAAAAATGGCATCCATTCTTAAAATGCAGCTAGTGACACTAAAAGGATATTTATATTGTACTGTACAATATTTAATTTCTATCTTTCCAGACTTTGTTCAGCTAAAAACTAGTTATTAATGCAACACTTGTATAAGGTGGTGTGCATGTAACTACATTTTGTACATTATCATTCATTCATTCTTGAAAACCTCACTCTGTTGGTCACTCAAGCCTAATTGTTTACCCCAAAACTTGTAGCATTCATCTTATGTTACTACCACATAAATCTGTATTCAGAATAGCAATCACTGAATTAACCCTTTCACTGTCGAGACCCCTTCTCACAAACTTGCTCTTAGTGTCGAAGAATTTAAAAAAAAAATTCTTTTGATAGACAATCTTTACTCAATGGTAATGACTCCAAAAGTACGAAATTTGATGGAAAACTTAGAATTACTCTCTCGCGAAGTTAGTGGTCTAGGATATATATACGCATCGGCAATTTTGCCCACGTTGATTCCTATTTTCAGCCAATGCCATTGTTCCAGTCGGCCAAACTCATAGCTATTTCTCTAGAACTCAGTTTGTTCTATCGACTGAGTACAAGAAACTGCCCATTTACCGATTTCAACTACCAAATAAAGTGGTCAGAAATTGGCAATTTGGCCAATTTCATGCAAATTTCAAAAGATGCGAACTTCAAAATAGGGTTCGGAATAAACAGTGCAGACATTTCTGGCACTAAAATAACATTTTCTCTTCATTAGCCACGTGTCCAGACCCCTCTTATACTATTACTTTCCATTTTGAATTTTTATTCACACAAAAAATAGAAGATTTACTGTTATGCAGACTACTACATTATTATATAATTGCATAAATAGTGCCAACCCATTTGTGACTGCATATTAGACCTGCCAGTTAGACATGTATTGGATGGTGACTGTCATTTGTTTACCCTTGAACATCAGCAAAAATCAAACATTTCCACTAATTTGAGCTCAATTTCAAGGTACTTCTCATTATGAAACCAATCAAAATTATCTCTTTCTTTAATATACCTTCTATTCTATCAAATGAGACCAAGAAAATGAGAATACAACCATAAATACCATATGAAAATGCACCTCAAAGTTGGTGTTTTAATCCAAAAAACATGGAGTTTTTTTCTCATACTCTGCGTGCTGCAGGTTGTTTTTCATAATGCGCGCACTGACCTCGCAGATCCATTCTCTCACATGTAGGTCTACCAGCTTTCTCCTGCTAGATTTGAAGCCATTAGAATTTTTGGGTATTAATACACCAACACTGGCTTGTAAGCTGTACCTATATGCCACTGACAGTGAAAGGGTTAACCCATTCACTGTCGTGACCCCTGCTTACAAACTTATTCTCAGTGTCAAAGATTTTTAAAGAGAAAAATTTTTTTTTCTTATGAAATGAAAGAGAATCTTTTCCCAATGGTAATGAAACAAAAAATATGAAATTTGATGGAATTATGGAATTACGTGGTCGCAGAGTTAGCAGTCTCGGCCTATTTTCAGCAAATTCCATTGTCCCAGTCGACCAAACTCATAGCTATTTTGCTAGAATTCCTTTTGTTCTATCGATTGAGTACAAAAAAGCACCCATTCACCTATTTCAACTACCCAATAAAGTGATCAGAAATTGCTAATTTGGCCAATTTCATACAAAATTCAAGGAAGACCAGTTTCAAAATAGGGTCCAGAATTAACAGTGGAAACATTCCTAGCACTAAAATAACATTTTCTCTGTTCATTAGTCACATCTCCAGGCCCCTCTTTTATTATGCTTTCTTTTCCATAAAAAATAGAAGATTTATTGTTATGCAGACTACTGCATTATTGTAAAAATGGTATAAATTTTATCAGCGCATTTGTGAAAGGATATTAGACCCACCAGTTGACATTATTGTACGTGTGACATGATTCGTTTGCTCTTGAACATTGGCAAAAATTGAACATTTCCACTTTTTGAGCTCAATTTTAAGTACTTTTAGTTTGTAAGTGATTCACAGTTGTCTCTATTTCTGTAACGTAACTTCCATTCTGTTAAATGAGACCAAGAACATAAGAATACAACTGTAATAGCATACAAAAATGCACCGCAAAGTCGCTGTTTTAAACCAAAAACACTTTTTTTTCTCATGCACTGCATGCTGCAGGATGTTTTTTATACTGCACACACTGACCATTCAGACCCATTCTCTCATATGTAGACCTACCAGCTATCTCCTGCAAGACTTGAAGTTGCTAGAATTTTGGTGTATTATGGGACTGACACTGGCTTGCAAGCTGTAATATTACAGGACCGACAGTGAAAGGGTTAACTTCTGTAATACATTTCTGAGATTAATGTTTCTACACACATTTTTTTTTGTTTTATTTTTACACACTGGCTGTCACCCACTGAGGTAGGGTGACTCGAGAAAGAAACACTTTCACCATTATTCACACTATCACTGTCTTGCCAGAGGTGCGTAGATATATCAGTGAAGATGTCCCTCCAAACAGGAAATGTCTCTTAACCCTTCCTTTAGATAAAATATAGCTAAATTAACATCTTGGTTATTTCCATTATTAAGAGCATGATGCTGTATTACTCCTTTACATTTAGACACCCTATCTCAGCGGGACTCAGCTGGTGTGCTAAATTAATTTAATGAGACATGCAAAATTCAATATCAATGAAGAAAGGGAGGCAGTAATTTCATGCACTGGTCAGGGAGGTATAACATCTTTTAGGAGTAAAGAAAAGCAGGGTGAGTGTGGGAGAGGTGCATGAGGCATTATTTAGAATGAGAGGGGGTAAATCAGCTAGAACTGATGGGATCATGACAGAAATGTTAAAAGCAGGGGAAAGGATATTGTGTTGGAGTGGTTGGCATTTTTGTTTAATAAATGTATGAAAGGGGGGAAGGTACCTACAGATTGGCAGAGAGCATGTATAGTTCCTTTATATAAAGGGAAGGGGGACAAAAGAGATTGTATAAATTATAGGGGAAGAAGTTTACTGAGTATACCAGGAAAAGTGTACGGTAGGGTTATTATTGAAAGAATTAGAGGTAAGATAGAGAGTAGGATTTCAGATGAGCAAGGAGGCTCTAGAATGGGTAGGGGATGTGTAGCTCAAGTGTTTACATTGAAGCATATATGTGAACAGTATTTAGATAAAGGTAGGGAAGTTTTCATTGCATTTATGGATTTAGAAAAGGCATATGATAGATTGGATAGGGGAGCAATGTGGCAGATGTTGCAAGTATATAGAATAGGTAGTAAGTTACTAAATGCTGTAAAGAGTTTTTATGAGGATAGGCTCAGGTTAGGGTGTGTAGAAGAGAGGGAGATTACTTCCCTGTAAAAGTTTAATATATTTATAAATGGGGTTGTAAAAGAAGTAAATATGTTGGAGAGAGGGGTGGGATTAAATTATGGGGAATTAAATACAAAATGGGAGTTGACACAGTTACTTTTTGCTGATGATACTGTACTTAGGGGAGATTCTAAAGAAAAGTTGCTAAGGTTAGTGGACAAGTTTGGGTGTGTGTGTAAAGGTAGAAAGTTGAAAGTGAACATAGATAAGAGTAAGATGATGAGGGTATCAAATGATTTAGATAAAGAAAAATTGGATATCACATTGGAGAGACTTGAGTATGGAAGAAGTGAATGTTCTCTGATATTTGGGAGTTGACGTGTCAGTGGATGGGTTTATGAAGGATGAGGTTAACCATAGAGTTGGTGAAGAAAAAAGGTGAGTGGTGCATTGTGGTATATATGGAGACAAAAAAACTTTATCTATGGAGGCAAAGAAGGAAATGTATGAAAGTGCAGTGGTACTAACACTCTTATATGGGTGTGAAGCTTGGGTTGTAAATGCTGCAGCGAGGAAGCAGCTGGAGGCAGTGGAACTGTCCTGTCTAAGGGCAATGGTGGTGTAAATATTATGCAAAAAATTAGGAGTGTGGAAATTAGGAGGTGTGGAGTTAATAAAAGTATTAGAGGGCTGAAGAGGGGTTGTTGAGGTGGTTTGGTCATTTAGAGAGAATGGATCAAAGTAGAATGACATGGAGAGCATATAAATCTCTAGGGGAAGGAAGGCGGGGTAGGGGTCGTCCTCATGAAGGTTGGGAGGGAAGGGGTAATGGAGGTTTTGTGGGTATGGGGCTTGGACTTCCAGCAAGCGTGCATGAGCGTATTAGATAGGAGGGAATGGAGACGAATGGTTTTTGGGACCTGACGAGCTATTGGAGTGTGAGCAGAGTAATATTTAGTGAAGGGATTCAGGGAAACTGGTTATTTTTATATAGTTGGACTTGAGTACTGGAAATGGGAAGTACAATGCCTGCACTTTAAAGGAGGGGTTTGGGATATTGGCAGTTTGGAGGGATATGTTATGTATCTATATATGCTACTAAACTGTTGTATCTGCAAAAACAGTGATTATATGTGAGTGAAGTGAAAGTGTTGAATGATGGATATATGTTCTTTTTGGGGATTTTCTTTCTTTTTGGGTCACCCTGCCCCGGTGAGAGACAACTGACTTGTTGAAAAAAAAAAAAATACACAACTAGCTCACACTATGGAGAAGAGATTTTCGACAATGTTTTGGTTTGATAGACCCAGCCATGGGTTTTCCATGATCTGTTCCAACCATGGTATTTTGATTTTTTTGTTTTAACATGTTGTCTGTTTTCTCTCACCAAGGCAGGGTGACCTGAAAAAGAATCACTTTCACCATCATTTACATTTTTTTTAACACTATCACTGTCTCGTCAGAGGCACACAGATACGACAGATTAGATGTCCCTCTAAACAGCAAATATCCCAAACCCCTTCTAATTAATAATACTGTCAGTGTTAATGCACTACTCTTAACAGACTCTGCTCAGGAGACTCCCAAGAAGCGTGGACCTGGGCGGCCTCCAAAACGTCTTCGTACTCTCTCTGGACCATCAGTGAGCCCACCAGCGAAGAAATGTGCGTTTTACTTACATATTCTAATATGCAAGTGTGTACATATTTTGCCTCAATATATTCATGGAATTCTATATATTTTTGTTTTTGTATTTTGCATTTTTTAATTAGGCTAAATCCTGATATTGTAGCTCTAGTACAGTGGACCCCCGATTATCGGCCAGCTCGGTTATCGGCGAGTTTTTCAGCACCTGGTTATCGGCCGTTTGCTCGGTTATCGGCGGTTTTGGACGTGTCCATCCGCTGGCTGGGGCAGCTTGCGCTTCAGTTTGGCTTTCTCTCGGTGGCTGAGGAGGCTTCTGCTCATACATCCAAACATTTTACTTGTTTACCATTGTTTTTAGTGGTTTTTCTTGCAGTGCAACTGTGAAATAAGTAACCATGGCTCCAAAGAAAGTTCCTAGTAAAGTTCCTGTGGTAAAGAAAGTGAGAAACACCATGGAATTTAAGCGTGAAGTGATCGAAAAGTTTGAGAGTAGTATGAAGGTGATGGAACTTGCCAGGATGTACAGCAAGAATAAATCAACAATTACATCCATCCTGGCAAAGAAAGAACAAATCAAAGATGCTAATGTTGCAAAAGGAGTAGCTTTTCTAACTAAACAAAGGACACCAATAATGGAAGAGATGGAAAAGTTGTTATTATTGTTGATTAAGGAAAAAGAATTAGTGGGAGACAGTGTAGTGGAGTTTACTATTTGTGAAAAGGCAAAGTAGTTGCATGAGGATCTTGCAAAGAAAATGCCTGGAACAAGTGCTGCAGTTTGTGAATTTAGGGCCAGCAAAGGATGGTTTGATAGATTTAAGAAGTGTAGTGGCATACACAGTGTTGTAAGGCATGGTGAGGCTGCAAGTTCTGACAAATGTGCAGCTGAACAGTATGTTCACGAATTCCAGGACTATGTAAAGACTGAAGGATTCGAACCCCAACAAGTTTTCAATTGTGACGAAATAGGCCTGTTTTGGAAGAAAATGCCAAAGAGGACCTACATTACCCAGGAGGAAAAGGCACTGCCAGGGCACAAGCCTATGAAACACAGGCTTACTCTTTTGTTGTGTGGTAATGCTAGTGGGGATTTCAAAGTGAAGCCTTTACTTGTGTATCACTCAGAAAATCCCAGAGTGTTTAAGAAAAACAATGTCATGAAGAATAGATTGTGTGTGATGTGGAAAGCTAATCATAAGACATGGATCACAAGGCAAATTTTCAGAGTGGGTTAATGATGTGTTTAGCCCAAGTGTGAAAAAATACCTCCTGGAAAAGAAATTGCCACTCAAGTGCCTCCTGTTGCTGGACAGTGCTCCTGCACATCCTCCAGACTTGGAAACCAAGTGTTTAGGGACTTGAGTTTTATAAAAGTGAAGTTCTTGCCTCCTAACACCACTCTTCTTCAGCCCATGGACCAGCAGGTCATTTCTAACTTCAAAAAACTCTACACAAAAGCAGTGCTTCAAAAGTGCTTTGAAGTGACCGCGGACACTCAGTTGACCCTAAGAGAGTTCTGGAGGAATCACTTCACTATCCTCCATTGCATAAGCTTTATAGGTAAGGCTTGGGAGGGAGTGACTTCCAGGACTTTGAACTCTGCTTGGAGAAAACTGTGCCAAATTGTCCAAGAGGGATTTTGAAGGGTGTGACACTCACCGTGACCCTGACCCTGTCGACCCTGTGGACTCTATTGTGTCTTTGGGGAAGTTCCTGGGGTTGGAGGTGAGTGGTGAGGATGTGGAAGAGTTGGTGGAGGACCACAGGGAAGAGCTTACCACTGAAGAGCTGCAAGAGCTTCAACTTGAACAGCAACAGATTGCAGCTGAGGAACTTGCTTCAGAGGAGGAGGAAGAGGGAGTGAAGGAGGTGCCTTCTTCAGAGATTAAAGAGGTGTGTGCAATGTGGCCCAGGGTGCAAGCTTTTGTAGAGAAACACCACCCAGACAAAGCTGAAACAAGCCATATCTGCAACATGTTTAGTGACAAAACCCTGTCCCACTTCAGGGAAATCTTAGAGATGCCAGAAACAGAGATCTCTGGACAGTTATTTTGTGAGACAGGGGTCCAGTGACTCTCAGGCTGGTTCTAGCAGCATTAAAAGACAGAGAAGGGAAGTAATCCCAGAGAAGGCATTACTACCTAAAGTCTTCATGGAGGGGGATTCCCCTTCCAAACACTAACTCCTCCCTCTTTCCTCCTCCCTATCTTCCAGAAGCCAGCATTAGCCTTCAATAAAGGTATGTAATACTTACATACTTATAAAAAAAATTATTTTTTTTTTGTGAATATTTTTGTTGGGAACGAATTAATTTTATTTCCATTAATTCTTATGGGAAATATTAATTTGGTCATCAGCCATTTCGGTTATCAGCCGACCTTCAGGAACGGATTACGGCCGGTAACCGGGGGTCCACTGTACTTTCATTAACCTATTTTTTATCCGTCACTCCTATGCCCAGACTTTTCACCTGTTCTGCAGTTTGCTTACAATTATATTAAATACCTGTATTTCCACAAATTTCTGATATGCAGTCATTGCAAATCTTGCTTTTTTTTTTTTTATAGTTTCCATATATCCCAGGGTGAAATATTTTTCACCAATATTTATGTACTTTATTACATAGTGCATAATATCATTTAATAGAATTTTGTTATACACTGTCCTTGTACATATAAATTAGTGTTTTACTTGGATTAACAACAGACACAACATCAATGAGAAGAGTGTTACGTGATCATATGTGAAGAGCGTGTATGCAACTTGCACATTTGCAAGAGAAAGTCGTGGAAGTGGCAGTGGAAGAGAAAAAGATGTGTAGTTTTATGGGCTGGATGTGATGTGAGGTCAAGAGTGGGGTAGAGTGAGAGCTTTCCTTGATTTGAAAGCATCATGCTAGACATTTGTGAAAAAGTTGTAGAGCTGAAGTAGCCAAAAAGTGAAATACTTTAATTCTGAACTATTAAAAAAAAAAAAAAAAATTTTTTTTTGAGGAACTCTTGGCGAAATATGAAGTTTCCAAGGCAAATCAGAGATGATTTGTGTGATGTAATAAGCTGAAGCTGTGTCTGTAGAATTGAATTTGTCTATTTCCTAAGTGCTTTAAAAAGAGAAGGAACTCCAATCACATAAGAGAATTAAAAATGTGCTCCACAGAAGAGGAATCAAGATTAGTGTACTACAAAACAAGACTTGAAAAAAGCCTCATAAGTGTTATGACTGAAGTATAGAGTAGTACAGTGTGGAGTCACTGGTATAAAAATCAGTAAAATTGCATATTCTGTGAAGATCATTAATAAGAGTTGGGGAATGAGTTAGAAGCTAAGTTATCTACAACAGTGGAAATTGATCAGTTAGAGGAATCTCAAAAGTTAGTTTGAAGAGAAGAGGTGGACAGTGAAAGGATAATGGTTTGAAGAGTATAACTTTGTGCCATGTTTTGCAAAAAGCTCAGGAAATAACCAAAGCAGTAAGAAAGGATTCACATTAATCTTAAATCAAGGTGTATTAAACAGGAATGAGGTAAGAGGGAAAAGTTATCAGTAGAAAAGCCTAGTAGAACTGACTAAAAAGAATTTGGTGTTCAAGGGAAGAAACTTATCATTAAGAAGGGATTCAGACTTGAGGCACCATAGTAAAAGTGAATGCAAATGAAGGATTGGAACAGTTACCATTCTTGAAGAAAAATATTGTTAAGGAAAGAGGAAGGTCAAAATATGCACAAGCTCTAACTTTGAACATTAAAGGGAATACAATTTTAATTGTTTTCCTTTTTGATGTTTAACATAAATGTGACTTAGCAAGGAATAGGATTGATTAAGAGAGAGAGAGAAATCTGGAAGACTGGAATCATTATTGATATATTACAAGAAAAGTGCCCAATAGGTGAGCTTCATCAAAGGATGATGCATATATTGAAATACAGGTTGGCCATCACTAATCCGGCAGTCAGTAATCCAGCACTAATTTCGGCTAGGATAATTTCAAATTTCCGGGGTCACCACACCAACCTGCCACTACGTTTTGGTAGCGGTACTTGCTTCATAAGTAATTCCAGTTTCTTTTTTACCATTTATTGTTATAACCTGCTCACTTTTAGCCCTAGCCATGGTTTCAATGAATAAAAGAAATGCTTTTCGTTGTATAAAGCACATAACCCATATAGTGTCCATTAAAGATAAGATGGCTTTGAAGCCACTGTAGGTCGCCATGACCTCAACCCACTCAGATGTGCTGTGACTGGTAAATTTGGGCATACATAAGAGAGAATAGGCTTGTGTGGTTAGTGTGTGCTATACAAAAAGAATCCTGCAGCACTCGGTACATAATGAGAAAAAACGGTGACAGTACTTTTGGTGTAAAACCTACTTTGCAGTGTATTTTAGTATGGTTGTATTCTTATTTTTTTTGGTCTCCATTGATAGAATGGAAGATATATTACAGAAATAGATATAATTTTGATTGGTTTCATGCCAGACAGTATCTTAAAATTGAGCTCAAAGTAGCAGAAATGCAGAAATGTTCGATTTTTGCCAATATTCAAGAGTAAACAAATGACATTATCATCCAATACATGCCCAACTGGCCAGTCTAATGTGCAGTCACAAATGGTTTGACATTATTTATACAATTATTGCAAAATGCAGTAGTCTGCATAACAGTAAATCTTTTTTTTTTGTGTGTGAATAAAAATTCGAAATGGAAAGCAAGTGTAATATAAGAGGGGCCTAGAGACCTGACTAATGAACAGAGAAAAATGTTGTCTTAGTGCTAGGAATGTCTGCATTGTTTATTCTGGACCCTGTTTCAAAATTGGTACCTCTTCCAATTGGTGCGAAATTGGCCAAATTACCGATTTCTGACTATTGGGTAGTTGAAATAGGTAAATGAGCGGTTTCTTGTACTCAGTCGACAGAATAGAAGGATTACTAGTGAAATAACTGAGTTTGGTAGACTGGAACAATGGAATTTGCCAAAAAATAGGGTGTAAATTGGGTGAAATCACTGATGCGTAAATATCACCGTTGGGTTAAGTGTACAGTGGATCCTCGGGTAATGACATTAATCCATTTCAGAGAGCTTGTCTTTAACCGATTTTGTCGTTAGCCGAATTAATTTTCCCCATAAGAGATAATGGAAATCTAATTAATCCATTCGTCACCCAAAAGTATTAAATAAAATATTATTTTATATGAAATATACATTTCCCTACACAGAAAACAATGAGACATGCTGAATAAACATTACTGAAATGACACTTACCTTTATTGAGGACTTACTGATGAGTGATGAGATGGGAGGAGGGCAGAGGATGGAGGAGTTTATAATTGTTTGGAAGGGGAATCCCCTTCCATAAAGACTTGAGGTAATAAGTCCTTTTCTGGGGTTGCCTTCCTTCTTTGTTTCTTAATGCCACTAGGACCAGCTTGAGAGTCGCTGGACCCCTGTTGCCCCAAAAATCTGTTCAGAGAGCTCTGTTTCTAGTGTGTCTTTCAAGATTTCCCTAAAAATGGGACACGTTGCCAATACGGCCTGCAACAGCTGTGTCAGGGTAATGTTCATCCATAAATGCTTGCACCTTTGTCCACATTGTACAAATGTCCTTAATCTTTGATGAAAGCACCTTCCTCCATCTCTATTCCTCCTCTGAAGGAAATTCCTGAGCTATGGTCTGTTGCTGTTGCTGTTGCACCTCAAGCTCTTGCAGCTCTGTAGTGGTTAGCTCTTCATTGTCGTCCTCCACCAACTCTTCCACATCCTCGCCACTAACCTCCAACCCCATGGACTTCCCCAAAGACACAATAGATTCCACAACTGGCACAGACTCCTCAGGGTCAGCCTCAAACCCTTCAAAATCCCTCTCTTGTACACATTCTGGCCACAATTTTCTCTAAGCAGAGTTCAGAATCCTGCAAGTCACTCCCCCCCAAGCCTTACCTATAAGGTTTACGCAACTGAGGATACTGAAGTGATCTTTCCAGAACTCTCTTAGGGTCTTTTCAGTGTCTGAGGTCACTTCAAAGCACTTTTGAAACACTGCTTTGGTGTACAGTTTTTTGAAATTTGAAATGACCTGCTGGTCCATGGGCTGGAGGAGAGGAGTGGTATTAGGAGGCAAAAACTTCACTTGGATGAAGCTAAACTCCCCCACAATTCGCTCTTCCAAGTTTGGAGGATAAACAGGAGCATTGTCTATTACCAGGAGGCACTTGAGTTCCAATTTATTTTCCAGGAGGTATTTTTTCACAGTGGGGCCAAACACGTCATAGAACCAATCGAAGAAAATGCCGTTAGTGACCCATGCCTTACTGTTTGCTCTCCACATCACACACAATTTAGGCTTGACGACACTGTTTTTCTTGAATACACTGGGAGTTTCAGAGTGATACACGAGTCAAGGCTTCACTTTGCAGTCACCACTAACATTACTACAAAACGAGAGATATCCTGTCTTTCATAGGCTTGTGTCCTGGGAGTGCCTTTTCCTCCTGAGTAATGTAGGTCCTGTTTGGCATTTTCTTCCAAAACAGGCCTGTTTTGTCACAGTTGAACACTTGGGGTTTTAATTGTTCACCCTCTATGTACTCCTCAAAGTCCTGCACATATTTTTTAGCTGCTTTTTTTTTTTTGTCAGAACTGGCAGCCTTACCACACTGTGTATGCCACTATGATTCTTAAATCTCTCAAACTAATCTTTGCTGGCCTTAAATTCATTAACATCAGCACTATTTGGAGGCATTTTCTTAATTAGATCATCATGCAACTGCCTTGCCTTTTCACATATTATTGACTGAGAAACACTATCTCCTGATAATTGTTTCTCGTTGATCCACACCAACAACAGTCTCTCCACATCTTTGAGTATTTGTTATCTCTGTTTTGTAAGCATATTTGCACCTTTGGCAACAATAGCTTCCTTGATTGCCTTTTTGTTGGCCAAGATAGTAGCGATGGTTGAATTGGGTTTGTTATACAACCTGGCCAGCTCGGAGACACGCACTCCACTTTTGTATTTTACGATGATCTCTTTCCTCATTTCAATAGTATTTCTCACCCTCTTTATCACAGGGCTGGCACTAGAAGCTTTCTTTGGGCCCATCATGGCTTGTTTAGCAGTTACAAGCACTAAAAACAGTGGAATAATACAAAATATATCGCATGTACACGTGGAATCATCCTCCCTGGCTTGTAAACATTGGCACACTAGGTGTACACGGAGTAGCCGGGCCTGCTTAGGGTACGCGGACACGTTTGGGACGAATATCTTTAACCGAGTTCTTTGTCGCTAGTCGAGCCAATATTTTGGCACAAACGTGTCGCTACCCGATTTTTTCATTAGCCGATGACATCGTTACATGAGAGTCCACTGTATTCTAACCTAACCACTCTGTAATCTGGCAGACTCACTATTCCGGCACTCTACAGGTCCTGATGATGCCAGATTAGTGATGGTCAACCTGTACTAGTAAAACAGATGGAAAAAAGACGAGCAGAAAGTACATGAAATCTTTTAGTAGTACAAATGTATACTGTATATGCAGTTTTTTTTGTGTAGACAATATATACAATGGTTAGCTGCTGTTGAATTATGACATTGCACACCAGACCATGGTTTAGAATCAGAAGAGGAGGAAAAGAAAATTGGATGCAAACATCAATTCCAGCACACAATAGCACAAAGAGAAGCAATAAGTATCCTGTGGAAGAGAAGATAAAAATTCATAAGATTTTTATCAAATGCCAAAATTTGTGAGAATGCTCTGATATTATAAGCAAGATACTGAAGTAAAGGTGCAAATATATAACATGTAAGGAGTAAATCCTTATTTATTATATGGTGAGAGATCAGGAGAATATGTTTATATTGATCTTAAGTATGCATAGGATAACAAGTTGTTCTTGATTGTTAAGAGTAGATATTGAATGTTTTTCTCTCGTCTGTGGAAGTCTAAAGCCAGGTGTTGTGATGAAGATTTGTCTTCTAAAAAGAAGACATCAAAATTTAGGTAGAGGAAAATACTCTATATTCTGTACAGAGCAAGATAATCAGAGAAGTTGTTGATATTTGATGAGTTAAGGATGGACCTTCAGTCGAGTTGAGAAACTCTCTAATATTCAGTTTGGAAACTGTGTGTTTGAGAAGCTAGCAATAAAAGTATTATTTTGGCAGTAGGCTAACACCACCCTTGGAAAGAAAGAATAAGCACTTATATTGAGAAATATAGAAAGGATCATTAAAATGGATCTGGGTACCTAAGTTATGGAGAGGCATAGGGAAGATAATTAGTGCTAACCAAATATAGTTTTGTTAAATGTTATGTTTTTCATGATGATAAATGGTAAATGCATAGAATGTTAAATAAAAAACCAAGAAACATGGACACAATTGTTACATCTGATGATCCAGCATCATGCACGACTGACTGATGCCCTGGCGCGTATGACCTGCCAGCCTGTGATTGCTTGATGGACACAGGGAGGCTCTGATTGGCTATGGCCACACTGAAACGGTTAGCCTTCCTACATTAAAAAAAATTTGTTTATAAAATGAATTGAAACAGTTTTCTACACGATGGTTTGGCTATCATATATGTGAAGTACTCGTCTTACTCTAATATGTATCAAAATTTTAATAGTATTTTTTCCACCCCTGTTTAGCTACAAAAGGAATAAATTTGATATTTATTAATAACCACTCATTTTTTTTTATCTTTATAAATAGTGGTGAGTGAGACAGTAAATGCAACATCTCCCACCAAGGAAAGTAGTGAAGATGGTCCTGAAGAGGAGCCACCTTCTGTGCCCAGCTCACCTTCAGGTGTTAATCGTCGCACCTCAGTTCTTTTTACAAAGAAAGCTGGAGCGCTGTTTAAGGTTGGTTAAAATGATAAATTTTTAATGTGTGTATCATTTCCAACTTGGGTAGGGTATTTCAAAGAAAAAAATACTTGATTACTTATGTTCTTGCTGAATTTCCAGACGCGCATGAAGAGCATCATGTTCATTGTTAACCCTTCAAAATGCAACCTCCCAACACTTTTCCCAGTGTAGTCACAGTACTTTTCAGCATAAAATTGCAAGCCTGGGGTATATCGGATCATTATTTAGTTGTAGCTACAGTTAGAGTAAGAGGTAGATGGGACATAAGGAAAATGGCAACAGCAAGTAAGAGAGAGAGGTGAAAGTGTATAAAGTAAGGGAGGAGGAAGTTAGGGTGAGATATAAGCAACTATTGGCAGAAAGGTGGGCTAATGCAAATACGAGTAGTGGGAGGGGGGTTGAAGAGGGTTGGGATAGTTTTAAAAATGCAGTTTTAGAATGTGGGCAGTAGTTTGTGGCTATAGGAGGGTGGATGCAGGAAGAAAGAGGAGTGATTGGTGGAATGATGAAGTAAAGGGTGTGATAAGAGAGAAAAAGGTAGTTTGAGAGGTTTTTACAAAGCATAAGTGTTGTAAGAAGAGCAGAGTATATGGAGAGTAAAAGAAAGGTGAAGAAAGTGGTGAGAGAGTGCAAAAGGAGAGCAGATGAAAGAGTGGGAGAGGCACTGTCAAGAAATTTTAATGAAAATAAGAAAAAAATTTGGATTGAGATAAACAAGTTAAGAAAGCCTTGGGAACGAATGGATTTGTCAGTTAAAAACAGAGTAGGGGAGTTAGTAGATGGTGAACTGGAGTGTTGGTACCACTATACTTTCGTACATTCCCTTCTTTGCCTCCATGGATAACGTTTTTTGTCTCCACAGATACTTCAACACACCATTCAACTTTTTGCCTTCATCAATTTTATAGTTAACCTCATCTTTCATAGAAAGATGTTAAAAGCATGGGGGGGATATTGTGTTGGAGTGGTTGGTATTTTTGTTTAATACATGTATGAAAGAGGGGAAGGTACCTAGAGATTGGCAGAGACGGTGCACAGTTCCCTTACATAAAGGGAAGGGGGACGAGAGATTGTAAAAATTATAGGGGAATAAGTTTACAGAGTGTACCAGGTAAAGTGTATGGTAGGGTTATTATTGAAAGAATTAGAGGTAAGACAGAGTAGGATTGCAGATAAGCAAGGAGGCTTTAGAGTGGGTAGGGGATGTGTAGATCAAGTGTTTGCATTGAAGCATATATGTGAACAGTATTTAGATAAAGGTAAGGAAGTTTTCATTGCATTTATGGATTTAGAAAAGGGATTACCAAAACTGTTGTCCAGAGGGCTGAGGAAGGGTTGTTGAGGTGGTTCGGACATGTAGAGAGAATGGAGAGAAACAGAATGACTTCAAGAGTGTATCAGTCTGTAGTGGAAGGAAGGCGGGGTAGGGGTCGGCCTAGGAAAGGTTGGAGGGAGGGGGTAAAGGAGGTTTTGTGTGCGAGGGGCTTGGACTTCCAGCAGGCATGCATGAGCGTGTTTGATAGGAGTGAATGGAGACAAATGGTTTTTAATACTTGACGTGCTGTTGGAGTGTGAGCAAAGTAACATTTATGAAGGGATTCAGGGAAACCGGCAGGCCGGACTTGAGTCCTGGAGATGGGAAGTACAGTGCCTGCACTCTGAAGGAGGGGTGTTAATGTTGCAGTTTAAAAGCTGTAGTGTAAAGCACCCTTCTGGCAAGACAGTGATGGAGTGAATGATGGTGAAAGTTTTTCTTTTTCAGGCCACCCTGCCTTGGTGGGAATCGGCCAGTGTGATAATAAAATAAAATAATAAATATGATAAAGTGGATAGGGGAGCAATGTGGCAGATGTTGCAAGTATATGGAATAGGTGGTAAGTTACTAAATGCTGTAAAGAGTTTTTATGAGGATAGTGAGGCTCAGGTTAGGGTGTGTAGAAGAGAGGGAAAATACTTCCCAGTAAAAGTAGGTCTTAGACAGGGATGTGTAATGTCACCATGGTTGTTTAATATATTTATAGATGGGGTTGTAAAAGAAGTAAATGCTAGGGTGTTCGGGAGAGGGGTGGGGTTAAATTATGGGGAATCAAATTCAAAATGGGAATTGACAGTTACTTTTTGCTGATGATACTGTGCTTATGGGAGATTCTAAAGAAAAATTGCAAAGGTTAGTGGATGAATTTGAGAATGTGTGTAAAGGTAGAAAGTTGAAAGTGAACATAGAAAAGAGTAAGGTGATGAGGGTATCAAATGATTTAGATAAAGAAAAATTGGATATCAAATTGGGGAGGAGTATGGAAGAAGTGAATGTTTTCAGATACTTGGGAGTTGATGTGTCGGCGGATAGATTTATGAAGGATGAGGTTAATCATAGAATTGATGAGGGAAAAAAGGTGAGTGGTGCGTTGAGGTATATGTGGAGTCAAAAAACGTTATCTATGGAGGCAAAGAAGGGAATGTATGAAAGTATAGTAGTACCAACACTCTTATATGGATGTGAAGCTTGGGTGGTAAATGCAGCAGCGAGGTGGTGGTTGGAGGCAGTGGAGATGTCCTGTCTAAGGGCAATGTGTGGTGTAAATATTATGCAGAAAATTCGGAGTGTGGAAATTAGGAGAAGGTGTGGAGTTAATAAAAGCATTAGTCAGAGGGCAGAAGAGGGGTTGTTGAGGTGGTTTGGTCATTTAGAGAGAATGGATCAAAGTAGAATGACATGGAAAGCATATAAATCTATAGGGGAAGGAAGGAGGGGTAGGGGTCGTCCTCGAAAGGGTTGGAAAGAGGGGGTAAAGGAGGTTTTGTGGGCGAGGGGCTTGGACTTCCAGCAAGCGTGCATGAGCGTGTTAGATAGGAGTGAATGGAGACGAATGATACTTGGGACCTGACGATCTGTTGGAGTGTGAGCAGGGTAATATTTAGTGAAGGGATTCAGGGAAACCGGTTATTTTCATATAGTCGGACTTGAGTCCTGGAAATGGGAAGTACAATGCCTGCACTTTAAAAGAGGGGTTTGGGATATTGGCAGTTTGGAGGGATATGTTGTGTATCTTTATAGGTATATGCTTCTAAGCTGTTGTATTCTGAGCACCTCTGCAAAAACAGTGATAATGTGTGAGTGTGGTGAAAGTGTTGAATGATGATGAAAGTATTTTCTTTTTGGGGATTTTCTTTCTTTCTTGGGTCACCCTGCCTCGGTGGGAGACGGCCAACTTGTTGAAAAAAAAAAATATATATATATAAACTCACTGTATTGAACACAATAGCTGCACTAAAGTTATTATCATTTTATTGTTTACCACTTTTGTTTATTACAATAAACATGCACAAATCTTGTATAATACTAATTTTCTATCATATATTTACATATTTACAATGGACATGTTTTTAGAACTGCTGGAGCTTGTGGAACTCCTTGAAACAAGGCACCATGCACAGAGGTACTTTACATTCCTCGCACTTAAACAGTGTGTCTTTGCGTCTTTGTTGCCGACGTTTTGTTTGTGCACAGACACTGCATCTCTTATGAGCAAATTTCTTCTTAGTTGTAGGAATCTGTGTTATGAAATGATCACCTTCCCTCCTCTAACACATGGGTATATCCTGAGGAGTTCGAGGACCTTGTTGTATAGCAGGTGTTGTTACCTGGTACTTCATTATGAGTTGTCTGACAACAGACAAACAAAATTCAGCATATGGTTGTCTGTTGCCAGTCTTCACTTGGTACATATATGCATTGAGCATTGAAATGTCCATGAGATGGAAGAAAAGTTTCATGTATCACTTGTAACTCTTACGAACACAATCAACAAAGCCAATCTGCATGTCACATTTGTCAACCAAGTGCATGTTTTTTGTATAATCAATCACGTCACTGGTTTTCGAATATATTCATTAGTCATTCTATCAGCTTTGCCACTGTCTTGCCTTTCGTTACAGTGAATGGTTGTCAACAATGTGACATCTCGTTTGTCATGCCGCCATAATGCCATGATGTCATTGGCAGTAAACACCTGCACGTCATCACCATGAGCACCTGCGTTAAACCAGGGCATATATTTACAATTAGAACGCACTGTGCCACACACATCTGTCTTGTTCACTCGCAAGAAATCACTGAGTAAAGGGCTTGTGTACCAGTTATCAGTATATAATGTATGCCCCTTACCAAGATAAGGTGCCATCATGCTTCTCGCTACATCACCTGAGATACCAAATAACATCTTGGTATCTTTCAATGTTTTACTTCCCGTGTATACAACAATATCCAATACCAGGCCACTGTCACAGTCACAGAGTACAAACAGTTTTATACCAAAGCTTTTCCTCTTGCTCGGTATATACTGTTTGAATGTCAGTCTACCTTTGAACAAAATCCAAAGATTTGTCAAGTACAAGATTCTTGAATGGATAAAAGTACTTGTTGAACTTTTGTTTGAGATACATAAAAACATTTCTAATCTTGTATAACCTGTCACTTCTGTCAGGCCTAGTTTTGTCAGAGAAGTGCAACATATGTAACAGTAAGATAAACCTGTTCACTGGGATGATTTCACTGAAGACCGGGGTAGAAATTAGCCGATCTGTTGACCAGTATGCTTTTATATTATGCTTATTGACATGAGGCATAAGCATTATTGTTGCAAAAAGCAAATACATTTCTGCAACTGTCGTCTCTTTCCACCGGTGTAGTCTTGACTGTGGTGATATGATTGTATTTACCATGGTGTACTCAAAATACTTGTTACTTTCCCTGACAATAGTTTCCATCAATGGCTGGTCAAAGAATAATTCAAAAAATTCCAGTTCATTGGCAGTGTTTCCAAGGGGACAAGTTGGTAGAATTCCACTCTGAGAGTCATCAAAGTGGTGGAGCTGGGGAACAAAATTGGGATTTTGCTGCCAATCCCAGATATGGTTTGCTGGTGGATACTGGACATCATAGGCTGGTTGTGCTTGTGGTTGTGGTGGGCTGGTGGCTGACGCTCCGCTTTGCCCTTGAACTGAGGAGTCGGTAACGTGGGTCCCAGCCTGGGCTGGTGAGTCACACATGGCCGTGGCACTACCATCACCACTACCACCACCTACTGATGCCTGTGGTCTATCCATGCCAAGTGTAGCCACATCATCCTCACTTTCACTGTCTATTCCTGGTATAGGGCCACGGGATGTACTCTGGGATGTACTCCGTCCCCTGGACACTGCATAGAGAACACTACCCGAGCGCATGCGGTGGCATATGTACCGATGCTTCGCTGGTGAATATGTTTCCTCACTGTCACTACTCGAATGATCGTCAAGAGCAATAAAATCACAATCCATGTCACTATCATCATCATTACTGAAGTCAGAGGCCTGGCCATGCGAAAATAATAGTTTTCTCTTGTGATGAGGTACAACTGACTGTGACTGACGAGTGCCCACACCAGAGGTAGAAGGTTGAGGATCGTCAGGGTTTTCTGCACTATTATCAATATCCTGGTCATTCCTTTCGGTCACTAACTGATCAAAGCCAAAGAATTTGTCTTCATTTCCACTTCCATCAGAGTCAGAACTATCAGATAGGAAGAGGAGAGTCCCAATTTTCCTTGGAGTGAGAGTTGCCTTGCAACGAGGCATGGTTAACAAAGGTAACTGAGCCGGCGTTCCCACAATGCTTTGCTGGCGCCTAGAATTTTTGTTTATGGCGCGCACACACCACGCAGACCCGTTCTCTCGCATGTAGGCCTACCAGCGTTTTCGCACTAAATTTGACAGCGCTAGAATTTTGGCGTAGATCTACGGTTTGGACCCTGAACATAAAGCCGTAGATCTACGGGACGGACCCTGAAAGGGTTAAGGTATTGGAATGCTGTTCTTAGGTTTGCCAGGCGCCCATATGCTGCAGCAGTTATCTGGTTGATGTGTGCTTCCAGAGATGTGCTCGGTGTTATGGTCACTTGTAGATCTTTCTCCTTGAATGATGGTGAAAGTGTTGAATGGTGATGAAAGTATTTTTCTTTCTTTTTGGGCCACCCTGCCTCAGTGGGAAACGACCGATGTGTTAAAAAAATATTTATATAAATCGTTGTTATAATTTTAGAAATAGAAAACATTGAAAAAGTATAAGTATTGGCCTATAATTGAGTATCGGTTTTGGCAAAAATTTTGACGTTGTCCCATCCTTTGTCATAGATCACTGCTATCACTTATATCGAGGCCCCTGTCTTGAGTGTACTTACTATGTAGTCATTTGTCTCGCCTCTGTCTATTACTCTCATCTCAAAACTCCATGGGTTTTTCTTGATTTCTGTGCCCCTTTTGGAAAAAACTAGGAAAAAGTGATGTTAAATTGTTTTTGGTCTACCCTGCTTCAGTGGGAAATGGCTGGGGTGGTTGGGTGGGTTTGTGTGGGTGGGTGTGGGTGGGTGGGTGGGGTGGGGGGTGGGGTGGGTGGTGTGGGTGGGTGGGTTTGTGGGGGGGGTGGGTGGGTGGGTGGGTGTGGGTGGGTGTGGGGGTGGGTGGGTGTGTGGTGTGGTGTGTGTGTGTGTGTGTGGGGTGTGTGTGTGTGTGGGGGTGGGGGTGGGGGTGGGTGGGTGGGTGGGTGGGGGGCAGGATAGGGGGGTTGGGAACAATAGTAAGCTGTGTTGGTTGTTTTTTTGAACTTAGTGCTTAATTTTTAGCAAATAGAAGGGTTCTGGAAGGGGGACCTACAAGAAAAAAGTATTTTGTCACATTATTTTTAAATGTGGGTTATTTCATTGTAAGAGGCCTTTTACAGAAACCTGAAAACTCCTCCCCACAGAAGCGAATATCTCGCCAGCGTCGGGGATCTGAAGGCACCCAGGGAACCAATAGTGATGCTGAGAGCCCCTCACTGGAAAAGAGTGCAAAGTCAGTTCGCAAGAAGAAGACCCCATCAGGGGTAAGTCTTAAGGAGTTTTGTGATACAGTATTGCAAATTATCTTTTGTATTTTTATTTTAAAATATTTATTATTAATTTTGAAATGTGCTTTATATTCTACTTGGTTGATATTTCTAGGAAAACTTCAAAGCAGGTGCATTATATTTTAAAATGTGTTTAGTATTTGTTTGTGTTGTCAACAGAATGCAAAGACTGGTACCCTGTCATTTCCAGAGGGCATCTCCATCCTAGACCTGTCTGATACTGGAACTCCTCCAGCTAAAGATTCATTCAAAATGTACCGACAAGGAGGAGGTTAGTATTAACCATGCAACTCCTGTTGGGGTTTGTTACTGCAAAGATGGTGTTACTATCATTACAGTTATAACCCTGAACTCGGTACAAGAAAAAGGTATTGCAATACAGATTTTTATGATCTTTCACATTTTTTTTTTTAACTACAGTGTCCACCGAAGTAGGGTGACTCAAAGAAGAAAACACATTCACCATCATTAATTCAATATCTGTTTTGCCAGAAGTGTGTAGACATCGTAATTCAAATGACCTTTCAGATCATAACATCCTTACCCATTCTTCTGAGTGCACACACTATAATTACCACTGCCAGAAATATTAAGATGAGCTGAAATGCTATGCAAGCCCTAGTCTGATGTTTAAAAAAAATTATTCACAATTTGTCAAGCACCAGACTATTGGAAGACAGCAAACGTGATACCAGTATTTGAGGAGGATGACTTGCATATTGCCCTGAGTTCTAGAAAAGTGATTGTAACAAGAGTACTGAGCATATTATTGGAAATTGTGATAAGGAAAATGCTCTTTGGGCATCTAAAAAGCACTAGCATCCTCACAGAAAAAGAAAGTTATGTTTTACTAACCCTTTTAGAGGTCATACAGATATTCCTAGACTGTAAGAAGGATTTTGATACTGCTAAGATGAAAGGAAGAGTATTAACCTGGATAAGGGAATGCTTGAACAGTAGAAAATACTTAATAAAGGGAATGAAAGACAGGGGTGAGAGAGTGTAACTCGAGTATCAGAGTTAGGTCTCCATGTTGTTCCTCGCACATGTAAATGGCCTAGTTTCAGGAGTTAGCTCCAACATATTCATGTTTGCAGATAATGCCAAAATAACGAGAATGCAAGCTGAACAAGATGAAAGAAGATAAGAAGAAGAGCACCTAGGAAAGTGAGAAGCTCATTAAAGTAGTTACATTACTTTGTCTCTGCTTCCTCATTTTAGAGGTAGTGATTGGTGGCATGACTATTATGTTAACTATTTTTCCTCGTCACAATCAGTTTCGAGTACATCCTACATACTTTCAGTATCAAAAAGGATTAATAATTAAGGTTATTAAGAATCTTAAAGATGAGTTCCACTTGAAGATTCATCGATGAGATTGTGTTGACTCTTCTTCAATAGTGTGAGAGTGAGTGTGAGAGTGAAAGTGAATATTGAGAGTGAGTTGTGATGATGTGAATGAGTTGAGATAGATTGAGAGTCATGTGTGAGAGTGAGTGTGAGAGTGTGTGAGAGTGAGTTGAGAGTGATGTGTAGAGTGAGTGTGAGAGTGAGTGTGAGAGTGATGTGTGAGAGTGAGTGTGAGAGTGAGTGTGAGAGTGAGTGTGAGGTGAGTGTGAGAGTGAGTGGTGAGAGTGAGTGTGAGAGTGTGAGGTGAGTGTGAGAGTGAGTGTGAGAAGTGAGTGAGTGAGTGTGAGAGTGAGTGTGAGAGTGAGTGTGAGAGTGAGTGTGATGAGAGTGAGTGTGTGAGAGTGAGTGTGTGAGAGTGAGTGTGTGAGAGTGAGTGTGTGAGAGTGAGTGTGTGAGAGGTGAGTGTGTGAGAGTGAGTGTGTGAGATGAGTGTGTGAGAGTGATGTGAGTGTGAGAAGTGAGTGTGTGAGAAGTGGTGGTGTAGAGTGAGGTGTGTTGAGAGTGAGTGTGTGAGAGTGAGTGTGTGAGAGTGAGTGTGTGAGAGTGAGTGTGTGAGATGTGATGGTGTGTGAGAGTGAGTGTGTGAGAGTGAGTGTGTGAGAGTGAGTGTGTGAGAGTGAGTGTGTGAGAGTGAGTGTGTGAGAGTGAGTGTGTGAGAGTGAGTGTGTGAGTGAGTGAGTTGTGAGATGTGTGAGAGTGAGTGTGTGAGAGTGAGTGTGTGAGAGTGAGTGAGTGTGTGAGAGTGTGAGAGTGTAGAGTGTGAGAGTGTGAGAGTGAGTGAGAGTGAGAGTTGTGAGAGTGAGTGATGTGAGAGTGAGAGTGTGAGATGAGAGTGTGAGGTGATGGTGTGTGTGTGTGAGGGTGATGTGTGAGTGTGTGTGTGTGTGTGTGTGTGTGTGTGTGAGCATCAAGGTCATTTGTTTTCTACCTTCTCCCACAAATAAATAACATCTTTATCTTTCTTGCAGTATGGAAGGAAAGAACTTATAAATTAAGCTACACCCATAGAGATACTGTAATTATGAACACTGAAATAGCTTGGCGAGTTTAATTCTTTAGATTTGGGCAGAAGGACGCTGTTGAAATGAACCGTATTATCTCTTGCTTTCTCTGGTTCTGGGTAAGAAAATAAAATTATGACAATAAAGAAGTTTGTTCATAATTTATATGAAAACTTGTAAGTTACTGTAGATCAGAAGGCTTCATATCAAGACCTGGTGTCAAAATTGGAAGGAGTTTGGGGAGTTGGAGGGAGAGGGGTCAGGATGATTATTCTTTTACCCTGAGGGGCAGATTGTAAACTTGAGCTACATCTCAAATAATAAAGGGTCAGTGTGCAGTACTAACTCTCACATGGGCTCCCATCTGTTTCTAAACACATTCTAGAAAGACTAATGATAAATGAATGCCACTTTCAGAATAATGAGTACTGTACATTAGGCATTTCCTATACAAGTTTACTCAGTAATGTGTGTCCCTCATTAAAGGAAGATTTCATAAAGTGATCTTTATGAAGAGTGAAGTCTTCCTGTACATAATTTTGGTTGACTGGAAATAATATCATTATGTAGAAATTAAAAAAATATTGCAGTTCAAGTGGTCACAAATCCAGTTTTTGCACAAAATTTGGCAATAAAGTGTTAGAATTTTTTTTTGGAAATTTTGGAAAGAACATTCATATCTTTTGGCTTGATAGTCATGGAAAATGCTGTTTCATAATTTTTGTCTTCAACAGAAATTCCTCCTGAAACAGATGAAGATACCCATTCCGAGTCAAACTCCAGCTTGACAGACACCGAAGATGATACTGCCTCTGAAACAGATTCCGATGGAGGAGGAAGTGGGAGTGATTCAAGCATTGAGGGTGAATCTCCTGGTTCAGGCCACACAGGAGATCAAATACCCCTGGAGCCTCTTGATTTAGTGTGGGCCAAATGCCGTGGCTACCCATGGTATCCTGCATTGGTGAGAATATGCATATTCCTCTGACAATAAAAAAATGTTCTCACACATACTAGTGTATGTGCAGTATCCATGTTCTTTACTTTCTAATGCCTGAAATATAACATGTAAGAGAAGGCACAGGGAAATTTCTCTAAACAAGCCACCTCTGTGAACAGAGTTTTTGGCTTGAATTCACAGGTTAAATTGAAAGGAACAAATATATTTGAAGCTGAAATTTGTGGCCCGTTTAGAGAGGTTTTAATATTTTGAAGTGATGCCAAGCTCATATTCATGGTAAAATATTCTCTGGATTTATTATAGCACCTCTCTCATTTTAGTCCCTTAGTCTGAATTCCTGGAACTATTTTATGGATTAACATTCAGATCAAAAATTAGTGTTTTCCTTCTTTGGGTCACCCTACCTTTGTGGGAAATGACCAGTGTGTTAAAAACATCTAGAGAACTTTAGCATTATACACTTTTTTTCTGATACTTTATTGCCAAAAAAGATTCCATTCGAAATTGTATTTCCTATATGAAATTTTGCTTTCTTGTTTTTTTAGTGTAAGCATGTCTTGACTGCTTCACTTTTGGGATATCTAAGGTAGCATGCAGAAATTTCAAACAAACATTTCAAGTGCTCTTTCAAATACCTAAACACAAAAGACATTTGAATTGTGTGGGGAAGATTCTGTATGGGGCCACCCTTTTCATGAAGGGGGAGCTCACAGTGGAAATTAGAAATAAACATTGTAGAAAGATAGGTATTCACTTCTTAAAATTACAGGAAGATGAGCTGTAGGGAAGCACTTAGTCAACTCTACACATTCCAAAAGTAAGCATTTAGAATAATTAATGATAAAATGATTGATAACATTTTCATTTTTACGTGCATTAAAAGGCTTCATCTCACTCATTTTTTCTATAGTTATTTTAATGGCAAGGGCATTGATGAGTTTAGTGTTATTGTTGCACCTTTTTGAAGCCCTGTTGAGATCCACCAGGTCTTCTAGGGATGCATGCATTGTGTGACTACCACAGTGCACACCTCCTGCATACTACACATTTTTTTTTTGTATCACAAACAGCTGTTCTATGGAACTTCATTTATCTCCTCAGTAGATGGGTGAGTTCTCTTGGTCGATACCCAACCTTGGCCTTTGGCTTGTTTGTGTCCTGCTCTGTTGAAGAAATAGTTAATAAAGTAAGGTGGTACATTACTGGTTAGTACACATCTCCTTTCACTTTCAGTCTTACCCAAAAAAAAAAAAAAAAATTAAGGTGAATGAAAGGAAATCCACTTTTTTTTTTTTAATGGAATAATGCCAAGCTTTAAAAGGAACCAGTTGTTTTACATGCATCATAATTGTCCATTCTTATAATTAATTATGCTCTCTTTATATTCAGCCAATTCTTAGAGGTCTCACCAATGTACACATTCTCATTTACTTAAGCCATTTTCCTTTCATTTAATACTTAAGGTGCATATTTATCAGTGTTTGCTTGCCAAAATTAAAACATCTATAAAAGATGATTGTGGTGGGATTTTATTTACGCTTACAGTGAGCTATAAAACTAAAAGTAGAGTATAGCAGGCTAGCTAGTTGTTAGGGACCTTCTTTCCCTTTGCCTAAACTATTCCAAGTATGTCAGTCAACCCTACCAGTCAGATGAAACTATCAACAAGGTCAGATCATAAAACACTAAATACAGGTAGTCATATTATGTCTTCGAAAATGAAAAAAAAAAAAAAATGACTGATGGGGTATGCCTGCAGAGATAATTGTATGTTTTGTTTATATTCCCAAGTGCTGTTTCTCTCTAAATCACATATATATTGGGTTGTAAAGGCTGTATATTTTATGCCTAAATTTACAGGGTTTTTTTTGAAGTTGAGGATTTTTTGTCTGAAAATTGTCATACTATCATAGCAGAATAAGAAAATTTTATTCAGGCTGATCTAACTGCACCGAATAAATTTGGAAGTTACCAAATCCGTTCTCTAACTTTGATAATTTGTATCTTGGAATATGCTTATTAATTAATAAATAATGCTTGTTGATGCCATTTAAAGTATCTATGAATTTTGGTCACCAGTACAGCTCTGTATTTGGTATTAATCTTTATTTCTATCTTGAAAAATCTTTCATTGGTTGCACTGTATTAGGTATCTTGCTATTGCCAACATATATTTGAATTTCATGTAGTGGGACATTTCACTTTTAAAAGACTTCTCATATTGTTCTCCATCAGTTGATAATATTACCTTTCCCTTTCAGAATTAATATACAAATTTACTTTATCAATTATACTTAGCAGTTACTGCATCTTTTTATGTTTTCATTCATGCTTAGCTTTTTTTTTTTTCTAGTCACACCTTCAAAATGTCTTTACTCTAATTGCATACTCCAGATGACTCCACTCTTTCCAGTATTTTATCAGTGATATTCTTAGATGGGTGTTTAGCTTCATTTAACCAGTCTGTGAACTAGAGCTACTTTACCTGTCATTATTAGCATAAACTATTGAAGCATAGTAGCATAAAGATGTTCTTACCCTTGTCTTCCCTGTACTGGTCAGGGAAGACAAGGGTAAGATACAGTGTTCTAAGGCCTTCTGTTTACTACATTAGAAATATCAAAATTTGTATCACCACTATTTGCAAAACTTTGCCATAATAGTAGTTCCTTCATGGGAAAAGGGGGAGACCTTGATGCTGAGGGGCTCTTGATCCAAGGAATTAGTTACCATTCCCTTTCTTGCATTAAACCCTATTACTTCCCATTCCCAGGGCACTGTATTAACCTTAGCGGCTTAGGGCTTAGCACTTCCCATGACTTGCATAATAATAATGGTTAGTAATCATAATTGACTCTCATAACCCTCAGTTAAATCTTTTCATATCCCATCTGCACATTATAAACTTCACTGTGAGTGACCAGCTTTCTGATAGTGTTTTTTATGCTTAATTGTATCCTCCAACTTTTCAGATAATAAACCCCAAAATGCCAAAGACTGGATACTTCCACAATGGTGTACCAATCCCTGTGCCTCCAGATGAGGTGCTTGCTCTAGCCAACAATTACCCATCACCTATGTATCTAGTTCTCTTCTTTGACAACAAGCGGACCTGGTAAGCATTGCACCTCGTGTGTCAGTTCTTTCTATTATTACTGTAAGTATCCCCTGTATACTTAATGTTTTATACTTTATCTTCAACTTACCATTTTTTCTAGTACTGTATTTTATTTCTGAATATTAAACTGTCACTGTATTAACTTCAAATTATTCTTGAAACTACGTAAGTAAGCAGACTTGAAATGTAGGAAATCAAGGGGGACTAGATATTCTGATATACTGTTCATCAGTGTTCTAAACCAGTAAATGGTTATTTCAGTAGTCCAAGTAGTCTTTTGGGGGTAGTGGAGGGAGATGTGGAGATTTAATATAATGTATGGAGCAGTTTGAGTTCTCTAAAGATGGTAACAAGGGAATTCTCAAATTATTGTAAAATTGTAAAAGAAAGCTTGCCGATAAAGAAGATAACGTCCTGTTTGTACCTACAGAATTTAATGTTACAGGACTTGTTTTGCTCAAACCCATGCTATTTGGAGGTGACATCCACGTTTATCACTTCAAACACAGATACTGCTGTCCTGCATAATATAGCATATGATGAACCACTGTATAACAAATCTTTCCTTGGACGATGGCTGGCAGGCTCATATTTAACATGGAAAAGGCATATGTAATTTTGGAAGTTCGTGAGGCAGTAGGTAAAATGAAAGGGGGTAAGGCAGCCGGGATTGATGGGATAAAGATAGAAATGTTAAAAGCAGGTGGGGATATAGTTTTGGAGTGGTTGGGGCAATTATTTAATAAATGTATGGAAGAGGGTAAGGTACCTAGGGATTGGCAGAGAGCATGCATAGTTCCTTTGTATAAAGGCAAAGGGGACAAAAGAGAGTGCAAAAATTATAGGGGGATAAGTCTGTTGAGTATACCTGGTAAAGTGTATGGTAGAGTTATTATTGAAAGAATTAAGAGTAAGACGGAGAATAGGATAGCAGATGAACAAGGAGGCTTTGGGAAAGGTAGGGGGTGTGAGGACCAGGTGTTTACAGTGAAACATATAAGTGAACAGTATTTAGATAAGGCTAAAGAGGTTTTTGTGGCATTTATGGATTTGGATAAGGCGTATGACAGGGTGGATAGGGGGGCAATGTGGCAGATGTTGCAGGTGTATGGTGTAGGAGGTAGGTTACTGAAAGCAGTGAAGAGTTTTTACGAGGATAGTGAGGCTCAAGTTAGAGTATGTAGGAAAGAGGGAAATTATTTCCCAGTAAAAGTAGGCCTTAGACAAGCATGTGTGATGTCACCGTAGTTGTTTAACATATTTATAGATGGGGCTGTAAGAGAAGTAAATGCGAGGGTCTTGGCAAGAGGCGTGGAGTTAAAAGATAAAGAATCACACATAAAGTGGGAGTTGTCACAGTTGCTCTTTGCTGATGACACTGTGCTCTTGGGAGATTCTGAAGAGAAGTTGCAGAGATTGGTGGATGAATTTGGTAGGGTGTGCAAAAGAAGAAAATTAAAAGTGAGTACAGGAAAGAGTAAGGTAATGAGGATAACAAAAAGATTAGGTGATGAAAGATTGGATATCAGATTGGAGGGAGAGAGTATGGAGGAGGTGAATGTACAGTGGACCCCCGCATAACGATCACCTCCGAATGCGACCAATTATGTAAGTGTATTTATGTAAGTGCGTTTGTACGTGTATGTTTGGGGGTCTGAAATGGACTAATCTACTTCACAGTATTCCTTATGGGAACAAATTCGGTCAGTACTGGCACCTGAACATACTTCTGGAGTGAAAAAGTATCGTTAACCGGGGGTCCACTGTATTCAGATACGTATTTGGGAGTGGACATGTCAGCGGATGGGTCTATGAAAGATGAGGTGAATCATAGAATTGATGAGGGGAAAAGGGTGAGCGGTGCGCTTAGGAGTCTGTGGAGACAAAGAACTTTGTCCTTGGAGGCAAAGAGGGGAATGCATGAGAGTATAGTTTTACCAACGTTCTTATATGGGTGTTTTTCTTTTTCGGGCCACCTTGCCTTGGTGGGAATTGCTAAACCAGTGTTCAAAATTGTGGTGAACACTGCTCTTAAATCCTAAAATTTCTTGGACATAAATACATGAACACTTACAGGAAAAATGTTCAATAAGAATAAAACTGGTTAAAGACTTGCTTGGAGAGATTTCTATAGAAAACTTTGATTTGATAGATACAAAGGTTTGTTTATACACCTACCATCCGTCTTACGACCTGCTCGACATACGAACACTCGACTTATGACCGTGTTTTTTATGCCAAATTTCTGGGAAATAAACAACTATTTGTGTTGTACACAGTGTTTATCCTAAACCTTACAGTATAAAATACAGTACTAACAGCTTAAAAAGTAAAGTAAAAAATGAAATACCAAAATAAAACAATAAAATAGTCATTACAAAAATATAATGTTGATATTCAGTAGTAAAGTTCGACTTAAGTCCATTTCGACTTATGACCGGTTTCTTGGAACCGAACTCGGTCGTAAGTCAGATGGTGCCTGTATTCTATGTGAGCACATCTCCATTATGTCTTGAAACTTTTCAAAATTTCAAAGGTGTTAAAGTTATTGCATATTTTATATGTACTCTGATAATTATACTGATGTATACAGTGGACTCCCACCGTTCAGCGGCCGCGACTTTCGTGAAATCCGACTTTCGGCAAGTTTTTTCGGCAAAATTTAGCTTCGTGGTTCATGATTGGACTCGTGATTCAGCAACCTTCTGGTACGTGTCTGCCCGTCAGGGCGCACACAAAGCCAGTCTCCCGCACTATTCACACTTAGTGTGACATCGTTTACCAGCATGTGACCATCACCCCACAGGTTCATACAACACATTTCATAATAATTCATTGTTTTTTGTGCTTGCAACTGCTAAATAAGCCACCATGGGCTCAAAGAAAGCTCCTAGTGCCAGCCCTTTGGTAAAGAAGGTGAGAAACACGATAGAATTCAAGAAAAAACTCATAGCAAAGTACTAAAGTAGAGGAGGAAGAGAGAGGAGGGGAGAATGTGCCTTCTGCAGTGATTCAGTGATTCTACAATAAGTATGATACTAAAGTAGCAGGTATCGATAAAAGCTATATCTCCAGCCAGGGATAAAGTGTAGAATTAACAGTGTAGCAAATAAGTTAAGCGAGTAAGCGATAAAAAAACAACATGAGAGTAACTCTCCAATGTTGTTGGATGTGTATAGGTTCGCTGAACATACACCGCCCTGCTATCTTCCACCACCCTAAACCTCTGCCAACATCTCCTTCATCAAACTAACTAATTAAACTAACATCTCCTCCAAGGTAAGTGTAAATATAAAAGTGTAAGTATAAAAGTAAATGTAAGTGTTGGTGGCGGTGGAGGCTTTGGCCACCAACACCATCACACTTAAACAATGTATGTAATTTATAAATAAGAAGTATTTACATTTTAATTTATAATTAAGAAACATTTACATTTTAATTTATAATTAAGAAATATTTACATTTTAATTTATAAATAAGTTTATTCAGGTATACACAAATACAGTTACATACATAGATTATCATACACAGTGGCATATGTGTAAAGTACCCAGGATAACCCAAAAAATTAAAGAGTGACATACTTCCATTGGTATTCTTTTATTAAAAAAAAAAAAAAAAAAAAAAAAAAAATACCAATGGAAGTATGTCACTCTTTAATTTTTTGGGTTATCCTGGGTACTTTACACATATGCCACTGTGTATGATAATCTATGTATGTAACTGTATTTGTGTATACCTGAATAAACTTATTTATAAATTAAAATGTAAATATTTCTTAATTATAAATTAAAATGTAAATATTTCTTAACCTTTCAAGTCAAAGCCAAAATCTGGAGTCAAACCATGTCCAAGAATTTTCAAAATAAATAAAATTGTAATTTTTTCTTATGAAATTAAAGAGAATCTTTTTTAAGGAAGGTAATAAAACAAAAAGTACGAAATTTGGTGGAAAATTGACGAAATTATGCTCTCGCGAATTTTGATGTGTCAGCGATATTTACGAATCGGCGATTTTGCCGACTTTGACTCCCATTTTAGGCCAATTACATTATTCCAATCAACCAAATTCTTAGCTATTTCACTAGTATTACTTCTATTCTATCGATTGAGCACAAGAAATCGCCAAGTCAACTGTTTCAACTACAAAATAAAGTGATCGGAAATTGTTAATTTGGCCAATTTAACACAAAGTTCAAAATATTCCAATTTCAAAATAGGGTCCAGAATGAACAATGTAGGCATTCCTGGCACTAAACTAACATTTCCTCTGTTCATTAGTTATGTTTTGAGGCTTTACAAATAAATTCCATTTTGATTTTTTATTCACCTAATGAATTTTTATTCACACCAAAAAATAGAAGATTTACTGTTATGCAATACTGTAATAATTGTATAAATATCATCACCATATTTGTGAATGTATATTAGACCCACCAGCTGATGTGTATTAGACGTGTGAGGTCGTTTGTTTACTCTTGAATATCGGCAAAAGTTTAACATTTCCGCTACTTTGAGCTCAGTTTCAAGCCATTTCCAATGCTAAAACCAATCAAAATCATCTCTATTTCTGTAATATGTCTTCCATTCTATCAAATGAGACCAAGAAATCGCAAATACAACTATAAAAAACATACGAAAAAACACTGCAAAGTTGCTGTTTTAATCGAAAAATCATGATTTCATTTTTTTTCTCTCATTATGCACAGTGTGCTGCAGGATCTGTTTTATGTGGTGCACACATACCACATAGATGTATTCTCTCATATCTAGGCCCAAATGTACCACTCACAGTTTATCAGAGTGAGCTGAGCTCATGGTGTAGATCTACGGTTTGGACCCTGAACGTAAAGCCGTAGATCTACGGGACGGACCCTGAAAGGGTTAAACGATTCGCGGGAGGGGAAAAAATTTTGAGCATGCGGTCGCCCGTTTGCCTGCGGTGGGTTATACCATTGTGTCAATGGGGGAGGCCTACTGCCATCATCCCCCCAACACGCTCCCAGCCTCCAGTTTGGTTCATACGTGTGCAGGACGGAGGTACTCAGGAATCTAGCTGTGTTTGTATACATGCGTATTTTCTTAATTTCATTGCCATTTGTTAAATCTGCCAAGCAGTAATGGCACCCAGTAAGCATACAAATGTTGCTGAAAGTGACAAGAAGAGGTTTAAGCGTTCAAGTCTAGGAATTGTGAAGAAAATTGAGATATTAGACATGCTTAAGAGTGGATCACATATGGTGGATATAGTGAGGGCCTATGGCCTTAATGAAGCATCGGTTCATACAGTTAAAAAGAAAGAGGCGAATATATGAGCTTGTGTAATGAATAACCCATGATGTCATCTCGTGAAAAGAATGACACGTAGGTCCCAACAAGTAAATAAAACCGAAAACTTATTGCTTGAACAGACTGAGCAAAAGGCAAAGAAAGCTGCACCAGTTAATTTCCTTTTAATTAGGGAAAAGGCATTGCAGTTGTTTAACCCTTTCAGGGTTGGCAGACCCTCTCCTAACTTGTTCTCAAGGTTGGAAATTTTTCAAAAAAAAAAAAAAATCTGTTTTTCTTATGAAATGATAGAGAATCTTTTCCCAATCATAATGACACCAAAAGTATGAAATTTGATGGAAAACTTATGGAATTATGCTCTCGCGAAGTTAGCGGTCTCAACGATGTTTACACATCGGCGATTTCACCCACTTTGAGCCCTATTTTCGGCCAATTCCAATGTACCAGTCGACAAAACTCATAACTATTTCGCTAAAACTCCATTTTTTCTATTGAATGAGTACAAGAAACCACCCATTTACCTGTTTCAACTGCTCAATAAAGTGGTCAGAAATTGGCAATTTTGCCAATTTCACACAAATTTCAAAAGATGCCAATTTCCAAATAGGGTCCAAAATAAACAAGACAGACATTCCTGGCACTAAAATAACATTTCCTCTGTTCATTAGTCATGTCCCCAGGCCTCTGTTACATTTCTTTTTCTTTCCACTTTGAATTTTTATTCTCACAAAAAATAGAAGATTTAGTGTTATGCAGACTACTGCATTAGTGTAGAAATGGTATAAATAATATCAGAGCACTTGTAAAAGAATATTAGACTCACCAGTTGACGTGTATTGGACACATGGCATGATTTGTTTACTTTTGAACTTTGGTAAAAATTGAACATTTCTGCTACTTTCAGCTCAATTTCAGGGTACTTTTCATTGTGAAACCAATCAAAATCATCTCAATTTCCATAATATATCTTTCATTCTATAAGATGAGACCAGGAAAACTAGAATACAACCATAAATAGCATATGAAAATACACTGCAAAATTGCTGTTTTAAAATGAAAACACAGTCGGAGTTTTTTTTCTCATTATGCACTGTGCTGCAGGATTTTTTTTATACTGCGCACACTGACCACATAGACCCATTCTTTCATATGTAGGCCTACCAGCTGTCTCTCGCTGGATTTGAAGGCGCTAAAATTTATGCATACAAGTACGTCAAAAACCCTGGCGCGTAAGCCATAATAGTACGGCACCAACCCTGAAAGGGTTAAAACAGTGTGTGATAAGGAAGGAAAGCCTGAAAAAGTGTGTGTGTGTGTTTAGCACAGGCTGGTTCCACACCTTTAAGTTGCATAATAAGTTACATAATATTAAGTTTTCTGGTGAAAGCGCTTCAGCTGATCATACAGCAGCAAGTAATTTTCTTGCTGAATTGCAGGAAATTATTTCTGAGGGTGGCTATGAGCCACATCAAGTGTTTAATGCTGACAAGACAAGTGTTGGAAAAAATGCTAACACGAACTTATGTCAGTCAGCAAGAGAAGAGTGCACCAGGCTTCAAGGCAGCAAAGGACCGCTTCACCTTGCTCCTTTGCGGTAATGCATCAGGTGATTTCAAGTGTAAGCTCATGGTTATTTACTGCTCTAAGAATCCTCGTGCTTTGAAAGGTGTAGATAAAAACACCTTACCAGTAATTTGGAGGTCAAACAAGTCAGCATGGATGACAGAGGAAATATTTAATGACTGGTTTAAGCATCACTTTATTCCTGAATTCAAGTTTTACCTGCACAGCAAGAACCTTACATTCAAGGCTCTCTTCATTCTTGATAATTCCCGTACTCATCCACAAGCTTTGCTGGATGTGACCCCACATGTAAAAGTTGTATTTTTACCTCCAAATACATCTTTAGTACAACCACTGGATCAGGGAGTTATTAAGTCATTCAAGTGTAACTATACAAAAAAGTTATGAAAAAACTAGTTGCATCAGTGGACTCTGACTCCAACTTGGCAGTACCATCTTTCTGGAATAAATTTAACATTGCAGATGCCATCAGCTATGCTAGAAGTGCATGGAATGAAGTGCCTCAATCAACATTAAATGCAGGCTGGGGAAAGTTATGGTCTTCTGTGGTTAAGAGTCAGGTTCAGGAAATTGTTCAGCTGGCAAGGAGATTACCAGGTGATGGTTTTGAAGATATAAATGAAGACAATGTGAATGAGCTCTCAGATGAGATGATGATGATGAAGACAGGAGTCCAGAGGAAATGTTAGCAGAGCTCGATGCACAGGTACAAGGGAGGGGCATAACAGAAGATGATGAAGAAGAACCTGAAGAAAAACAGTTAAAATTGCAGCAGTTACGTGAGCAGTTCCATATTATTGGTAAAGTTGCAGACTTTTTCACTGAAGAGGACCCTGACAAATCTAGATGCAGTTCATTGAAATGGGGTCTAGACCAGCTGATGATGCCTTACCGTCAGCTGTATAATGTATTGCAGGGTAAAACAGCCCAGAGAACCATTGCAGAATTTATGCACACTCCAATACAACCATCGACTTCAGTACCAGAACCTCTACCATCCACTTCTGCTGAGAACCAGCAACCATCCACCTCAGCCAGTAGGGCCACACCATCTATATCCACTCTCCACAATCATCCACACACACCATTACCCACAATTTAAGGTAAGAAATACTATTATTTCTATTGCATTTGTAGTCTTAAGCAGTAATATATCATGACAATGAACTACAATTACATGTTCACTTTTATTTTTGTAAGATCTGTTGATCTAAAAAAAGTTGTTTGGCTTTTTGGGGGCTCCCAGGAACGTAACCCTATTTTTCCCATAAGTTCTTCAGTTCATTTAGCACGATTGTACCTAACACGGCATTTTCAGGAACGTAACTACTGTGCTAAATAACGGTCTACTGTACATAGCATATAAACATGATACATACACCCACAGTACAATAAATTTCACGTAAATATGAGGTGTGGTAGCCGGGCGGAGGGAAAACTTTGTTTTTTCTGGTACAGCACCAGAGAAAACGTGTATGAATCTGCGTTTGGCCAAGTCACTCCCCTTAACACATTCCGCTTTGTTTACAATTCTCAGCGTGAATTCTTCTCATTACCTCTCCTTCTTTTATGATGGCATCTAAAGGTAGTTGTTAGAAATAATTAAACTCGGTGAACAAGGTACGTATGTCGATGGTAATATGGCTCTGGGCCACATTAAATATCGTATAGCTATGTAGCTCAGGCAGACTACGTAGCTACATCTACTGGCTACCTACACCTGACTTCCTACAAATAAATACTACTCACCTCTCATCCTACATTAAGACTTCAAATATTTTAAGGTAAGTAATGAATGTACTGTGTATGTATTTGACTATTGTTTTTTAATGCCTAGTTCTCCTGTTAGCTTAATAAAGGTAAGTTTAAAGTTGTTGTCTGGCATTTGTATGCATTTATAAGTGGAAAAATGGTGTTCTGTTTTCCAGTGATGTCTGCTTTCCGGCAGTAGCCTGGACCCTAACCTGCCATATAAGTGGGGCCCTACTGTACTTTTCTCATTTGTATGTAAAAAGACGGAAAAATATTTATGTAATGTTACTTATTCTTTCAGGCAATGGCTGCCACGTTTTAAGTTGGAGCCACTAGGTGTGGACTCTACTCTGGATAAAGCCAAGCTCGTCGAATCTCGAAAGCCAGCTGAAAGAAAAGCTGTGAAGAAAGCATACGAGAAGGCTATATTGCACCGTTGCCGAGTCACTGGGGAGAACACTGGACTCAGTGGAGAATCTGAAAATGAAGAGGCGACGTGAAGTCCAGTCAGTAATAAGAGTTTTATATCAAAACACTGGAGAAATTTTAGGAAAGGCTCTTGAACATTTTATGGTAATAAGCGATTAATTTGTTTGTGCAAATGCTAGGTGATAAAAGGAAATGTAAATATTATTTGCTAGTAGAATACATGTACAATATATATGCGTGTTGGGATAGGGAAGTCATCATACAAGTTATGGATGTAATATTCATCATTTATTTACATTAATATGGATAATATATTCACATCGTGTACCACTGTCTTATGACAGTATCATTCATGTTTAAACTTAAACATACACACTGCCAACAACTCCAAGGGTTTAATCTTTTGAATCCTTATTTATAGTTTATAATGACAAATATTATTATATGGGATATAATGAGAATTACAAAGTAACTTTCCAAGTGAATTTGATGGAAAGTTCAGTGAACTAGTCACAATTATTCCAAAATTATTTATGTACAGTATTTATAAAAAAAAAATCATCAGTCACATTTAATTTTTGTACTAATTATTGTAGTCTAATAAATTAATTGTAAGTGCAAGTGGTATTTAATTTTGATAAACTTTCAGGAAGACTATTGTTTTTAGTAACTGTTAGCAAACAATTTCAGCCCTTGAATTTTTTTTTAGAATGTCGGGTAAGTTGTTTTTGAGAAGTAGAACTATTGTTATTTTTATACCATAGGTTAAATAACCTGTGGAATAATGGGAAATAGGCAATGAAAAGTTGATTGTTGATCGTTTCTACAAAATGACAATATCAACACCTTATCTTAGGTAGCTTGACTTTCAAGTATAAAAGTTCTTTGGGGATAATAGGTAGCCAAATATGCATTATTGTAACAGTATGTTGTATCAAACTGTGCTTATCCAGTTAGGAATGGAAATTTTTGATGTAATTTTTTTTTTTATTTTTAGATTTGCCCTCTAGTAAGGCAGATTTAGTCATAGGCTTTATTTTCCATAGATCAAATTTTGTTAAAATCAGTACTTACTTAAATAACAGTGATTTTAAAAGTATATCATAAGACTGCCTTAGCATTGGTGTTAAGATCTTAGATAGTTGTAGCATACTCGTCTCAGTGAATACATAACTAGGTCCTGGTTGAAGTGGCTTCCAAGTATGATTCAGGTTACGGGTGGTGACTGTAGCTGCCAGCTGCATGTCACCAGTTATGTATGTATTGTTTAAGTGCTTTGATTTTCTCTTCTTTAAAGCAAATATTGTAACAAGTGTTTTTACTTTTCACAACAAAAGTTTTTAAAAGTAAAACTCTTGAAAATTGCTTCAAATACTTGTGAGAACCAAACTCTTATTTTTGTTTTCTGTAATGCAAATGGAAGTACAGTCCAACTATTCTGAAGGAAATTGTGTACATTTATCTTAGCATTCTGTTTGAAGTAGACAGTAAGGAAATATCACTCGTTACTTGAAAACATAGCCATAATGTTTTTTTTATATTGGCAGATTTTATGGTTGAATACCGTGAAATATTCTACCCTATTTCAAAATTTCCTATTATAGCTTAGAGGGGCTATCATAGCACTTAAAAATTTTCTTTTTGATCACTCGCTTATTTTTAGATGCATAAACTAATTTTAGGTAAAAAAAAAAGGGGGGGACCGAACCTTGCAGCATAGAATTCATAGACCTTTACAGAAGCCCTAAGGTAATGAGTGAGTTCTTGAAGCCATGCCAAAAAGGGTTCATTTTATTTTTTGAAATGTTTTTGTGCCATATTTATCCCAATAATTTCTTCGTATAAGCTCTGAAAAATGTTTCGTAGCCTCTGGAACTGTATAATGATGCCGTTCTCAGGTGTCTTGGGAGATCTGGCAGCATGCTACTGAACATAGCAAATTTACAGATTACTGTACTCTTATATTCAAATACTCAACCAGAATGAAGGTGACATTGTAAGTTTAAGTACATTTTTTTTTTCCCCCTGGCCATCTCTTAGTGAGGTAGGGTGACCCAAGAAAAGGACATAATACCCACCATAACTCATTCAATAGCTTTCTTACCAAAAGTGTGCAGACACCATAATTCAAATAACCTTCCAAACTGCAACAGCCTTGGCCCTTCAGAGTTTAGGCACAATACCTCACACCTTCCGGACTCAAATCCAGCTAACTGGTTTCCCTAAACCCCTTAATAAATGTTACCTTCCATACATTCCAACAGTACATCAAGTCATAAAAACTTCTTTTCTCCATTTATGTTGACTAACATACTTGCACAGGCCTGCTGGATGCTTAAGCCCTTAGCACTCAGAAACCTCTTACACCCTCCTCCTAGCCCATTCTAGGATGACCTTTATCCCCACTCGTCCCAGATTTATACACCCTCTTGGTCATACTATTTTGCTCCATTTCTAAATGCCCAGACCACCTCAACACCCTCTTCAGCCATCAGAATTATACCTATGGAAACCCTCTCCACATTTTGATTTCTACTACCTGATTTTTTTTTACGTATTTGCATTATGCATTACTCTCAAACATGACAGCTCAACTATCTCCAGTCTCCAACCTCATTGTTGCAATGTGTAAAGCCCATCCACTGCATCCATATAAAAGTGTTAACACAACCAAACTCTGGTACCTGGAGGTTATTCCGCGGATCAACGCCCCCGCGGCCCGGTCCATGACCAGGTATATTACATCTTTTTTTGCCTCCATAGATAAACTTTTTTTTTTTTAACTTTTTTTTTACCTTTTCTATTCTATGATGCCCCTCATTTTTCATATACCCATCTGCCAGCATGTCCACTCCCATATCTCTCTAAATATATTCACTACCTCCTTATTCCCTCCAATCTGACATCCATCTTTCATTTAGTCCTTAATTTTGTTTATTCATATTTTGTACCTGATTTTCGATGAATGAAATACAGTATTTTATGGTGTCGAAGATGCTATTTTTTCCCCAAAATAAGTCTAGAAAATTTACCCAGTGTCTTGGAGGCCAAACGTTAAGTTGCTCGTACGCGTCAAGCTAAGCCTAGAAAAGTGTTTCAGTACTATACAGTAATCTAAAGCTCCTGTTTATTACCCAGTAATTGTGTAAATTATTTTCTATAAAATAATGAATAAAAATCATAAACATAAAAGTTCGTTGGCACTCAGCAGCGTTATACTACAGTAAACCATGCGATGGAATGGGATGAACTATGGGTAGTATCAGTACACTAATTTGTCTGTTTACCATGAAACCAGCTGGTAATAACATTTTTACTCGCCTCAAACGATTCTGATATAAAGGGAACATTATTGTACATAAAAGGCAAAAGTAAAATTGTGGTATATTGAAAGGAGTTTAAATAATGTTACATATCAGTATATGGTAGTATACACACAAGTCACCATTTGCATACCCTAGGTATGTTTTAGTCTTGTTGCAGTATAAATGTACTCTTCTTTCAACAAACTGGCCATATCTCACTGAAGCAGGGTAACCCAAAAAGAAAAACAAAGGTTTTTCTTTTTAACTTTAGTAATGTATACAGGAGAAGGGGTTACTAGTCCCTTGCTCCTGGCATTTGAGTCGCCTTATGGAGGAAGGATTCTGTTCCACTTTCCCATGGAGATGACAGGAAATAAAGAAGAATATGAACTAGTAAGAAAGTAGAAGAAAACCCATAGGGGTGTGTATATATGTGCTTGTACATGCAAGTGTAGTGTGACCTTAGTGTAAGTAGAAGTAGCAAGACATACCTGAAATCTTGCATGTTTATGAGCAGAATATGCCTTGTGGCTTACGCTCTTTGTATAATAATAATAATAATAATATGAGACAGAAAAAAGACACAAGCAATCCTTCCAACATGTAAAACAGTTACAGGCTCCGTTTTCTCACTTGGCAGGACGGTAGTATCTCCTGGGCATTTGCTGTCTACCAGCCTACTACCTAGGAATTGTACTCTTATTAACATGAAATATTTTTAAAATGCATGAAAAAAACATCACAAATCAATATGAAGTTCTAGGTGTAGACACATCTTCTTGCACGCATCAAGACAGTGAGTAGAAAGAGAACATGGTGAGTCATGTGCAGCTCATGTATTGAACATGTACTCATATGAATGAGTGTCTTGCAAATATTTGCTTTCAGCTAAATTGAATATCAGACAGAAAAAAAAAAAAAACTGCCAAGCATAAGTTAACTATAGAACCATTCACTACATAAAGATAATGGAAATCAAGGACCCCAATGGAAATAAGTCATTTGTCTGACTTCTTTGAGTTATTCTAGATAATTTACATGCGTTACTCTGTGTAAGTTGTGTACCTGTACCTAAATAAACTTAATAGTTAAAAACTAAGCAATAATGTAAGGGGGAAATATGTCTTTATTCATTTCTGAACATTGTTCATTATGGGTAGTTGATCATTTAACGGCAAAGAACATTTTGCTGACAGTTCTGAATGTAAGCCCAGGATTGGCATTTAGCAGATCTAGAATAATCACCTGTATACTGCTGCATTTTTAAGCACTGTCACATAACTTTAGCATGTTTTAGCTTGTTTTAGGCAAGAATTTAGTGCTTTTTGGAAATTTCATTTGGCACACCTGCCAGTTGGCTGTCAGTGGTATTTAACCACAGAATGAATCAACACATGTTCTTATATGTAATGCCTCAGGCTTAACTTAACTTTATTACCATTATTACTGTGGATACCATTTGTCTTTTTTTTTTTTTTTTTTTTTCAAAATCTAGCCAGTCAGAAATGGGATGGTGGTCCTCGACACCAGAGCGTCTTGTTCACCATAAAATACGGTAATCTGAATTACTTGTTGTAATAGTTGTAATAAAATTTCAGGTAATTCAGGATATCAGTTTTTTTTTTTTTTTTTTCAACAAGTTGGTCGTCTCCCACCGAGGCAGGGTGACCCAAAAAAGAAAGAAAATCCCCAAAAAGAAAATACTTTCATCATCATCATTCAACACTTTCACCACACTCACACATTATCACTGCTTTTGCAGAGGTGCTCAGAATACAACAGTTTAGAAGCATATACGTATAAAGATACAACATATCCCTCCAAACTGCCAATATCCCGAACCCCTCCTTTAAAGTGCAGGCATTGTACTTCCCATTTCCAGGACTCAAGTCCGACTATAAGAAAATAACCGGTTTCCCTGAATCCCTTCACTAAATATTACCCTGCTCACACTCCAACAGATCGTCAGGTCCCAAGTATCATTCGTCTCCATTCACTCCTATCTAACACGCTCATGCACGCTTGCTGGAAGTCCAAGCCCCTCGCCCACAAAACCTCCTTTACCCCCTCTTTCCAACCCTTTCAAGGACGACCCCTACCCCTCTTTCCTTCCCCTATAGATTTATATGCTTTCCATGTCATTCTACTTTGATCCATTCTCTCTAAATGACCAAACCACCTCAACAACCCCTCTTCTGCCCTCTGACTAATGCTTTTATTAACTCCACACCTTCTCCTAATTTCCACACTCCGAATTTTCTGCATAATATTTACACCACACATTGCCCTTAGACAGGACATCTCCACTGC